TTGTATGGGCAGTTATTGCTTGTACTGGACTTGTCTGAGATGGGTGCACTTTAGTTGCTGATCTCTGCTTTTGGGGGTTCACAATCAATGGACTTGGGATGGGTGTGAGTTGAGGCGACTGCTTGGTATACCTGGATGGGGAAACTGTAGGCCGGGGAGGGAGGTCAGGCTCTGCGGTGGTTTCTCCTGAGGAGCAGTAGCGACAACTCACGAGGAAACGAAAAAAGCGACGCAAACCGGCAACTTTAACACATAGAAGAATATAATAAATTATGAGGGTATCCTTGACCTGGTTGTATCGTTGAATCAAGCGGGGAAGGAAGTCCCTTTCGTGCAGGGGCGTACTTTCCCTATATATACTCTTCGAGGGAGGAGACGAGGTACAGAACTTGCTGACCGGGATGGATGCAACGGTCCCAATATTATCACAGCTTTAGGAAGTCCCCTTTTGAATATCAAGAGTGGCAAATTGAGCTCCCACAACTTGATCATTCCTTCTGCAGGATAGCGTGTGGCTAGGAGGGTCCGATTCCGACGGATACCAGTCCATCCTCAGCCCCCTGTACCATCAGAACGGCTGAGAATTCCAAATCACAGTTAGTGTATGATGTGACGGATATTGAATGGGTTGATAGTCAATCAGTTACCGCGAGTATAGTGATTGCATCTCCCACCCCCTCCGCAGATCTGAGTTTGGTCTCCATTAGCACTACGTATTGACGCTGGGGAAACTTTAGCTGGAGCCGTGCATGTGAAGCAGGATGCAAGAAATTTCCGCACTGGAGCTAGCCTTGGATAGACTTGATCATGTCACGATACTGTAACCAGCTCGACGGAATGCGAGCGTGGACCGCGCATGTTAGACACTGCAACTGAGCAAGCGCATCCGGGCTTCACTTCACCAAAGCACCCATTGTCTCGGAAACCTTTCGTTGCTTTTTGCTATTCCCCTTTTCTTCCCCCCTCACTATAACGGGCTGCAGCCTGCGAAGCGGTGTTTCATTCACACAAGATATTGAGGAGCCGGATGATCGAAACCCACATTGACCCCTCTTCCATTCAACTGCTAGTGACTTCGGGTTGGCAAGATCCAGATGCTCGTTTGGGAACATCATCCACTCGGAGTGCGCGGCCGACCCGACAGGTCAAGTCTCGACCTTCATACCTAGCTCCTGCAGGCTTAATCAAAGGGCTATGATCCCCGCTAGGACATTTTGACTGTTGGTGGCTGCCTGAGCAAGCAGAAAAACCGAGAAGACGTGGTTGTTTGTTGGGGACGGAGAAACGAGGGACAGAGCTGGATGGACTGAATTGGCCCAATCATCTCCTGTCACGGACCATGAACGCTGACCTCTGGACTTCAGAGTGATGGGGAGCTCGCATCAATCAGACGAACTGTCGATCGAGGGGAAAGCCGTAAGATTGGCTGGCGGATGGTCGGTTCAGAGAACCAGATTATCCAGATCCTGGGCAATTTGAGCTATTCCAAAAGGTCAGAGCGGGGATAGGCTTGCCTATCCAGGACTAGATAGCTGCAGGTTGCTATCCAGTCTTAATCGCAGCAATCTATTTCCACACACACACACACACACACACACACACACACAGGGGCGCATTGTGAGGGGCCGTACTTGTGTGAGACCTTTTGTGTTTGATGTAACACACAACCAATTCTCACTGAATGCTTGATTGATCACATCTAAGGCACTGATCTCAGGCAGTGTGACTTGAGATCCATGAAAATTTAGCAGACAGCCATGCCTGGGCACAGGCACGCAGGCACGTTGAGAAGGGGAAAGTGGTGAGGAGGGAAAGTAGAAGGACACAGACTCCCGTGTGAAGGTCTGAAGAACCCCCGTGCCGGCCCGCTTAGCGCGGTGGGTTTGCACGGCTAGCCATGCTTCGGCACCTCCGCAGAAGCAAAGAAGGGGCACCACCATCACCCCCTCCCCCAGCACTGACTAGAGTTTAGCGGAGCCAGGTACGTAGCTGAATCAGGTCAGATCCACTCCCTTCAAGGTTAGCCCCTCATTGGACTACTTCTCGCCCATAGCTTCAAAGGCCGCGTAGGTCCCCGATACAAGATTGTGAAGCCCGAATCTTGCCAATTTGCGCAGGCTTCTTCCTGGCATCTGACTCAATTTAGGAGTGGCACATTAGTCCGCCGGGATCCATATTGAGCGGGGATAGATGGATGAAAAGTCATTGTGGATAGGTGCTAAGATCATGATCCTACCCAATGCAGAATAGTGGCCGTCTTGTTCCAGGGAATCGGCACCAGGTTGCCTCGGCTGGCATTCGTCGAATGTTGATCGATTCCACTCATTATCACGACGACAATGAGGTACGTAAATATGATGTTGCTTGCAAAATCAATACTTGATCAGTTCATGGTGACAGTGCATGAAGCCCTGTGATGATTGCACGGATTGGCTCTCAAATGCGCTGGTAAATCCGCTTCTTACCACAGCCCCATCCCCAACCACCCACACTCGTTCAACTATGAGCACTACGAGGTTGCCTAGCTAGCCCGTTACGTCCCGTGTTGTCTTGTCACAACAGTCTAATACAGATAGCAAAGCTTCAATCCATACTTGGTTCGGCATGGTCTAGACTTCGCCTCACATCAGTAATACTTCGTTCCTGGGGTTCCGTGCTGTCCGGCTCATGCAGCAGTAGCCAGAGATTCAGTCCACCCTCCGTGCAGAGTATTTGTTGAAAGACAGCTGACTAGGCGTGCAGCCGTAAGAAATATACTTGCAGGTATCCAAGCCGCCCGGGTGTTACTTCTAAGCTATAAGCATTGATATGAGTCTGCAGGCCGAATGAGGTTTTTCTGGTCTGTGTTCTCGGTAGTCTGAACGAAGATTCCGCGTGCTCTTCCATGGCCGTCCGGAATCTAGATCATCCACGGATATGTCCGCCTGGTGGTACTCACTCAGAGTGCTCCGTCCTTCCCAAACATGCGGTAGCACCTCCCGTCCACGCTAGCCATGCAGGCGGTACCATTAGCGGCTATACCCAATGTTGAACCAAAGCAGTAGCACGACATGGAGGAGGGGCAGAAGTACCTCCGTAAATGGCGCTAGTTCCGTCAGCGAGAACCTCTCAAGTCCGGAGTACTGTGCACAGCTGCGCCAAGAAACAATGTTCTTAGCGGGTGCCCCGACGGATGTAGATTAAAGATCTTCGAGACAGCTGCGGCGGCGGTTCCTCCGATGAGTTCGTCGTTCCCTTGAAGCTGTCAGCCTAGGATAGATTGCCATTGCGGTTTAAAGTGTGTTTGTTGTGTGAGAAGATTGTGATCGACGCGCGGGAATTACTCGCTAGTCTGCCTGATGATTTTGTCTATAGATCATAATTCCTCGCAGTAAATAATAGCTTTAAGGCCTTCAGGATGAGCTGCGCACAGAGCAAGTGTATAAACGGATGGCCTCTTCGAATGTTCGGATCAACTTCACAGATTGATCGATTGTTGACTATCTGCCTCTTAAACGAGAAGTCCGAAGACAGCATCGATCAAGTCGTCTTGTCCTACAGTAGTAGGCATGATTAGGAAAAGACTTGTGGCTTGAGTCGCATTTCGGGGTGGCCGTTGGGCTTGTGAGACGGACCCAGGGGAATAGAGACGACTCAAAAAAGAGAATACTGGCTGGCTGGCTGAATGCTAATGCATGTCCGGGATTCATCCTAGACGGTCTAGGATAGACGAGGACCGCGACCCTCAGCTCTCCGGGATGCGCTGAATCTGGTACCTTATTACTGCATTTGTTGAGGGGAATGGTAAGTTTCTCCAAGGCGAGATGTGAAAATAATTGGGATATAACAAGCGAGATTTAGCAGGGGTTTATTTCCCCTAAAGACTTGCAAAGGGTGGCATATATGGAATGAGCAAAGCCGTACGAAGTGTTGGAGAGTTTGTAGTTGTGAGAGAGGTCCCTGGAGGGCGGGGGGTGCCGAAATGGACTCAACTCTGACACTCCTTTCCACCAGCCCGGGCCGCCTTCAGTCCCTGCCTATTTTTACACGAGACCACGAACACCACCATTACCGTTTCTAGACGCCAACACCAACACTACCTTTTCCCCAGCCAGCCATCACTGAGTCTAACCCAAGAAACGAATCAGTCGATACTAATCAATTGAAAGTGTCATAAGACCTCATAGGTTATGTGTCCTTGCGAAAGATCCGTGCCTGAAACAGTCCATCGTGTCGACCAGAATACTCGCAGCGATACGAGCGCAACACCTGAGTCGCAACATATTTCGAAAGGAAAAAGAAGGCAAAAGAAGGCAAAAGAGGGGCTAAGGGCCGGAACAAGAGAGCTGAGGGGAAACACAAGAGCCTTCGCCAATCATGATCGACGCGGGATCGGGGTTCATGGCCAGACCACTTCATAGCAGCATCGGGCTCGCTTCTGCTGTGCTGAATCCATCATCGCACAGGTGGAGCACTTCGCGCATGACAGCAGCACCATACTGAATCGTTCCAGTCCCTTGCTCGCTAAGTCTGGACTATGCGACCAACGCGCTATTGATAACTGCCATTGCTTGGATGTGCGATGCGACTATCTACCCGTGACACCCCATCGTTGTCTGCCGCGTGCGCCAACGATAACATGGGTTGGTCCTCCCCGAATCCAGTACGGTAACCGATCATGGTCGCATATACTCATTCCAGGACCTGATCTTCGAGAACATAGCTCAGAATCTAACTCAGAAGTTACGCGCATGCTCGTCCAGTGCGCATCGAACTACTTCCTTCCTACTTCCTCAATTGTCATCTTCAGCTATATCTCTATCCAATATCTTTTCTTTATGACTCGCTGGTGCGAAGTACCCTGTTCGATCGACGAGCGAGATATTGTCGCCGGTACAAAGGGCCGGACCTGACCAATCCCGACGTGCGCGGCCAGCGCTCACCTGTTTTCTGTCGCACGGCGTAATGGCCCGGTACGCCGCGTCCTTTGTAGCTGACAGACTTAATTTAGCTACCATCCAATGTCGCAAATCCGACCCGATCCTATCCGCGCCAATCACGGCGGCTGTTCTCCGGTTTGCGACTGTACACGCTTTGCGCGCACTGGTCTAGACAACGATACCCTGGGTCTGGATGGCTTTGCGAGGGATCCGCTGGAGAAAGTCGCGCTGAATAACCTATCCCAAGAAGTGGTGCTGTTCACCGATCTACATCTATCCTTTTTGTCAGTATTTACTGGTTGAACGATGAAGTTATCCACTTTGATCCAATGAAAGTGGCGCCACTTGGGTTCAATGCTCGCTAGAGATTGTCGCAGGAAGTTGCCTCTTCGTCATGTTCGCCGATAACATCGCCGCGACGCGCGCACCCGGGCGCCTGCGAATCTGGTCCGCGGTCGGCGCCGTTCAGATTCCCGCACCCGCTTTCTTTATCTACGGCCACTTTCCAGACCACAAAGTAATACCTTGGCATCGAACGTTCTGAAGGTTTACACAAGGGACCTCCGATTCCAGAGGGGTTCTGCATCTATTTAAGCATGTGGGATGCATGATGCCGGACGGGCGAGGTGGGTCGTCCATCTCTTTTTTGAGACTGAAGGGAGTTTAATGGGCAATCAGTTCAGGATGTTTCTGGGACAAGATATTTAGCTGTGACCACATCTGCAAACAATCTTTGCACACTCGGAGAAAATTCAGAGATGACATCATAAACGGGAGATTGATGGTTTGGGAGAGAACCATCCTGAGATACGGTTGACTCTGCTGGCAATCAGCTCAATTAGCGAACCTGAAGTGTGGCTATACATCACAAAATTCCTTACCTAGAAGGCTTCTCAAGCCGCCCGTCGTCGTTGTCACTTCGAATTGTTTGGCGGAGCAATCCCCTTTCACAAGTTCAGCCCCTCCACGCGACCGTCGTTTTGAAACCTGCATTGGTCGCATGTTGCAGCAAAACATGTTTGAAATTATCATCTATGATACAAATGTCATCAAAACAAAGACTGAACATTTACATACAGCAATCAAGCCAGCCTGTTTCATTGCGCCTTCTTAGCCTCTCCGATGAATTCCAGTCCCTCCAGACTCCCAAACTTGGCGAACCACAGGTCCTGCAAATAATTGTCCCGCGGCACCCACGGCCCCTGATCTGCAGTCTTGGGCAGATTCTCCGCCGCACGCACCACATACGTCGAATTAAGGTTCATCAGCGGCTTTTGCTGCAAATTCTGGGCTTCTTCAGGGCGCAACCGCGGCACAGCGGCAGCCCGTCCACAGGCGTCCAGTTCGCGCAGGAAGCGACACAGGAAGCGGGCAGTCGCATCAGCGCCGAGTGTCCATGAAGCGTTGGTATAGCCTAGAACGAAAGCAGCATTGGGGATATCTTGCATCATGATACCACGCCAGAGGAACTTCTGCGACAGGTGCTGTGGAATACCGTCTACTGTGAGGGAGGCTCCGCCCGCTACCTGAAGACGCAGTCCCGTTGCAGTGACAATAATGTCAGCATCAAGGGTTTTTCCCGAGTCCAGCTGAATTCCTGTTGCCGTAACGGTCTTGATGGTGTCTGTCCGAACGTCGGCCACACCGTGATGCAACGCTTTGAAGAAGTCCCCGTCGGGGCAGACGCACAACCTCTGGTCCCAGGGATTATAACGCGGCACAAAATGCGGTGCCAGAGACACCGCCTTTGGTAGCTGTTGACTGACTTGCAAACGCAGGATGGCACGCGCCACTGTTGGACAAGCCTGGCAGAAAAGGAAAAAGAACCGCGCGGTGAAAAGCCAGAGGATGCGTTGCAGTTGGCGAAACCAGGCTGCCGGCAGGATGTACCTCAGTGGTGAGCGTTGACGATTGGGTAAGGACATAATGTAAGTTGGACTGCGTTGTAACATAGTCACTCGCGCCGCCTTTTCGGCCATCTTGGGAAGCAATGTGATAGCCGTTGCGCCGCTACCAATGATGACTACGCGCTTGTCGCTGTAGTCCAGGTCCTCAGGCCAGAATTGCGGGTGAATTATCTGGCCATTGAATTGGGTCAAGTTGGGAATGTCCGCCTGCAGAGGCTGCTGGTAATCGTAGTAGCCAGTGCCAAAGATGATGAAGCGCGCCGACATCGACTGGGAGCGACCTGCATGCTCGACAGCCAACGACCAGCGTTTCTCTGAAGAGGACCAGTCGGCGCCCAGCAGACGATGCTGATATCGGATGCGCTGGTCAATACCCTTGCTGGCGGCGGCCCGGTGAAGGTACTCGATGATGGATGAGCCCTCAGCGATCGGGTTGTCCTGGTCCCAAGGGTACCAGGCAAAGCCAAAGGTAAAGAGATCCGAATCGGAGCGGATACCAGGATACTTGAAGAGATCCCAGGTGCCTCCGAGCTGGTCGCGTGCCTCGAGAATGGCATAGCGATAGTGAGGAAACTGCGACTGCAGGCGATAGGCGGCGTTGATGCCTGATATGCCTGCACCGATGATGAGGACATCTAACTGTTCTTCCATGATGATGTGGTGGGATGTGTAGGTGGTATGCGAAAAGAACGACATTGAGGCGGCTGACGAGACAGGATTATATCGATTCCGAATCGACTCACATGGCCTCGGTCAAAGGATGTGTTCCTGGTGTTTGTCCGAGGTTGAAGCCAAAATGCGGCCAATTTTGGGTTTTTTGGCTCAACCCCGAAATCTCAACTTCAGGGCGGTTGGTTCATCCTTGCCCAAAATGGCAACAGTTGCGATCCCACTCACATGTCGACTCCATTTCGGTCCCTCTTTCCTGCAACTCGGGCATTTCTTGATAATCTTTCTCCTATCACATTTAATCCTCATGTTGCACACATTGTCCTGCACATGCTACCTTGGTGTGACCTAGCCACAATGACAGCGCTGTCTTTGTTCGAGAAACTCGACTGCTTGCCTGCCCTTGCGGCGCTTATGGGTACTGTCCTCTGGGCTTTGTTGACCAGTCCCTGGCGAACCCATCATTATCCGTCAACTCTGCTGTTACACGTGGGCTATGCAGCCATGCGCAAAGCGACATCACGCTTCTCAGTGGCCCAGCTGCAGTATGCTTCTGTGTTCTTTATATGGATGGGAGGACTAGCTTGGCTGACAGCGAGCGGCTTAGATATCTGCTTCCTACCACAGATACCATTTATAAGCGCTTCATGCGCCGCCATCGTCTGCCCTGGAAGACTGTTGATCTTGGCGAAGGTGCCCTAGGCCACTGGCTGGGGGACTATGAGCATGCTGAGCATGTCTTGATCTGGTATCACGGTGGGTGTTCCTCGTCTCACTACGTCAAATCAGGCCCTCATTGCGGTTTAGGAGGTGGTTTCGCCCTTCCTGCCAACGACGGTTACTTTCATTTCTTCACTCAACTGCTCGCGGATACCCAATCTAGACCGAAACCCAAGTCACTTGCGATCTTTACCCTCACCTATACCCTCGCTCCCCAAGCGACCTACCCCACCCAGATCCGTCAAGCCCTTGCAGCACTGCGATACATCCTCCAGGAAACCCACCATTCCCCGTCGCAGATCCTCCTCGGCGGTGATTCCGCCGGCGGGAATCTCGTCGGGGCGGTCCTCGCGCACATAGCCCATCCCCATCCAGATCTTCCGCCTCTCTCTTTGTCCGACGGGCCCGACCGCCAAATCCGCGGCGCCATCATGATCGCGCCCTGGACGAGTCTCGACCAGACCATCCTGCCCGAGGAAATTGCTGCCTCGATTGAATTGGACGAGTCACAGATCGACTTCCGGGGAGACATCATCACCCCTGCCGTAGGAGGGCCGTGGGCTAGGGCGTACATGGGTACTGGCAAACATGACTACTACACTGATCTCTCGACGGCGCCCACCGACTGGCTGACGTCTTTCCCTGTGACGAAGGCATTGGTCTGTGCTGGGGGGAAGGAGATCTTGCTGCCTTTCATTACTGCATTCGCCAAGAAATTGCAAGAAGGGCTTGGACCGGATAAGGTGGAGTTGTGCGTGGGGGAGGGTGAAGGTCATGTGGCGCCGATCTATAATCTGGCGCTGGGCGAGTGGGGGGAGACGGTCCAGGGCAGAAGGGTAAAGGGGTGGTTGGGAGATTTGCTGTAACTGTACGATAATGTGGCTGCAGCAAGGGTGTTGTCCCTCAATTGACATAGTCATTTTTAGATACCATAATATATCAATTATATCCCTCGGTCATTGCGGGATCTCGGATCTCAGGAAAGCCTGTCGTAGTGATGATGCGGGGTCGGATGGAAGCATCACGCACTGATCATGTAATCTCATGACCGCCTTTCAACACGCGATCGATCATATTCCCAGGCAAGAAGATACCCTTGTAAATGAGTAGTTCGAATGTTAATTGGGAAACATTGGCAAAAAAAGGGGGATGCAAAAAGAAGATTTGCTCACACTCGGACTCGAACCGAGGATCTCAGCATTACTAGTGCTGCGCTTTACCATCTAAGCCATGCGAGCTGATTGGATGACAGGACATCTGTTATTGCGTACAGACAGCATTTTACAAAAAGCCGAAACTGTGGAGAGGATATATTCTGTGCCTCCACTGCAAACAACACTACCCATACTTGCTAGGAGAGTGATCTAACCCCAATAGAGTAAGTGTTGGATTAGATAATTACTGCAAGATGTTTCTACATTCAATGTACTATTCATACGATTAGAGAATCAATTGAGACATCAATATACATATATCATCAAGTCTAGACTTCAACTCAACTTTTGTATAATAGTGACCACGACAAAAGGTCCACCAAGGCTTGTACGACATTTTTCTTTGCTAAACCAGAGATATTAGTCAAGCTTTCATTGCCAACTACCTAAGTATATAAATTACTTATGTTTATGCGAGTACCCGTGGTGCGCAGCATGACCCCCATGCATAAACTCGCTGATCTTCCTTTTCTTCTTCCCCTCCTCGGTCTTTCCCTCGACCTCGTCATTTCTATCGTCTTCATCGTCTTCATCCCCCTCATCAACAGCAGGCCAGTCTTCCCACCCGTCCTCCCAGATCCCTGCCATCACCTCCTGCTTCTCGCCCTTCTCCATCTTGCGATCTTTCATCACCTCCTCCCACCGCTTCATCTCTTTAGCGTTCAACAGACACTCATCCAGCAGGCCCGTCACACCGTCCACATCCACCCCTTCCCCGATGAACACGATTTCCTGCCGCCGATCGCCCCACTCGCCCTGGAAGTCCTCCTCGATGGACTTGCGCACGTCCCCGTCCTCGGGCCACGCCTCGCCCGGGACCTCGGCGAACCACGGGCCCCCGCAGTTCAACGTCAGCATGGCGCCGGCCTGGCTCCATTCGCCGAACTGGTAGGGTCGAGTGGCGAGCCAGAAGAAGCCCTTGGAACGGAGGAGGGGTTGGAGGAGGGGGTGTGCGCGTTTGTTGGCCAGAATTTCTTGGGGGCTGGGCTGAGCTGGGTCTTCTTCGTCCTCTTCCTCCTCTTCTTCAGAATCGGAGTGCATTTCCGTGTCGGACTCGGCGGCAGCGTCTTCCTCCTCCTCCTCCTCCTCCACTTCTTCATCATCAGCACCAGCATCATCAGCTGCATTCTGTAGGATGATGAACTTGTCATGAAGCAGATTGTATAATCTGCGCGGATGGAAAGGCCGTCGCGCAGTGTAGACGAAGTTGTTGATTCCATACCTGTTTCCCACGGGGGAGCAACGATTGATCAGCATTTCATCCGGGGATCTTTTCTCCGAATCATACTGGGAAGGAACAACGCGTAGAACGGTGAGGTGCCAGGGGACGATCAAAACTTACTCCAAAGTCTCCGGCGTAGGCGCCCACCTCTCCTCCCCATTCGCCATCTTCAGCTTGCTCATCTCGTGCAGACTGCGCAACCACCCGGCCCCGGACGCGGCCTTGAGGAAGTCGAACCGGCCCGTGCCCAGGATCTCCTTGACGTCGACGCGGGAATAGCTCGTCTGCAGGACCTTCGCCGCGGGGTTCAGCGTCGTCACGAGCCGCAGGATCCGGTCGCGGTCGTGCGGCCGCGCCGCCAGCATGTCCATCTTGTTGATGAGGATGACGTCCGCGAACTCGATCTGGTCGACCATCAGGTCGGAGATGGTGCGTTCGTCCTCGGGGATGATCGTGTCCGCTCCGTAGCGGTCGGACAGGAAGTCGGTCGTGTCGAGGTTCGAGAGGAGGTTGAAGGCGTCGATGACTGTTACTGTCGTGTCGAGGGTGGAGAGTTGGTGGAGGCCGCCGAGGGTGTTGCTTTTGGCGAGTGTTAGTGAAGTGTGCTTGAGAGGGGGGCATAAAGAGGTAGATGATGAGGGTAGCAGGGGGTGGGTGGCAGTACATCTGATCCAAAATCTTCTTGCCTTCTTCGTCTAATACACCTCCTTCGGCTTCGGCTTGGACCATCGCCGCGCTGAACTCGGCTGTGAATGTCTCGGCAACTTGCATGGGCTCGCTAATGCCCGTGCTTTCGATCACCACGTACTCGACTTCTTTCTGGGTAGTCAGACGAGCGAGCTCGGAGAGAAGATCGCCCCGGAGCGTGCAGCAGATGCAGCCATTTTGGAGCTGGATCAGGGACTCTTTGGTGTGGGAGACGGTGTGGTGTTTGATGAGTGTGGCGTCGATGTTGAGGCTGGATCGGATCTCTCGTTAGCAGAGCCCTGAAATGAGCGTATCCGGGGAAACTTGCCTGCTCATGTCATTGACGATGACAGCAATGCGAAGGCCATGGTCAGGCGACTGGAGGATATGCTCGAGGAGAGTGGTCTTTCCACTGCCCTGTCCCTGAGTTAGTATCTAGAGCTCGACCAGGATTTTATGCTGAATGCTGAACGACGGACCAGGAACCCAGAGAGGAGAGTCACAGGAAGTGGCTTCCGGCCCTCCTTCTCTAGAGAGATATTGGTATTCTTGGTTTCTCGTTTAGATGAGGCATCGGCCTTGATCTCACCCGCCTTGTAGGAGAGTGTCTCCCGTCCGGAGTCGATGACCATTTTCTTTCGGCTGCGCAAAGGCTCGTCACTAGAGAAAGAGTTGGCACGTCGCACCAGAACTCGATCATGTATGTCTACTGTACACTTCTATACTTATAGATGCAAGCTACCAAGGTGCTCTCATGATCGCAATTTATCATCATTGTTCTGATTGGTAATGGTTGCTCCCAAGGTCCTTGCTTGCAAGGTCCCGTTGCGTATACCTACAAGGTACTCGACATGCCAGGAATGAAATCAGTTGTGCTTGATAGGTCACACTAGCAATGATACTATCGCTTGGTCGAGGTTGAGTTGGTTTCATCCACACAATCCACCCCAATGCCCCCCGTGATGCCGGAGCAGATAATCTCCGCCGGGCTGCCCGCCGGACTCGTCAGCGAGACATCCTGCAGGGTGACATTCGTGCAGACAGCAGCAGGCGAGCACGTTAGATCGGCAACCACTAGACCTTCTTTACCCGAGGAGGTACCCCAGATGTTCTCAAAAAGGATGTTCGTGATATTGACAGCAGACGGGTATTGGGCGCACTCGGTGGCATTGATGTCGAAGTAGCACTGGTCCAACACTACTGGGTTGTCGGTGTTCTGAATCTGGATGTTCTTGTAGGTAATGTTGTTGATGCGACCGTATCCCACATCCGGTCCAGCCCAGGCCTTGAGTCGAGCGCCGTTCTGTGGTTGTTTGTTAGCCTCGATCAACAGGACAATGCCGAGTTGCACCTACCTGGCCGTTCAGCAGCGTCACGTTCTCGATCCAGGCGTTTTCAATGATGTCCAGTTCTCCTTGATATTGTCCAATACTGCCCATACTCACACCATGCGTATTGTTGCACCACAGGTTCTGGACAAAGATGTTGGTGGTGTTGGGTTTGGGCGAGAAGCAATCATCACCAATATCGACGCGGGTGTTGGTGACCGTCAGGCCATCGACGTTGTACGAATCAAATCCGTCGGTGTTTTTCGGAAGAGCCTATGCTGTTAGCCAGATTTCAGGAGCTTAACGCGCTTTGACATACCGAAGCGTTGGTCGAATAAGCATGGATATACACATCATCAAAGGAGATGTCCTTGGTGTTGACGAAAAAGTTGGTCCAGCACGGCGAGTTCAACTGTGTGATACCCTCCACAGATATACGTGTCGCGTTGTCAGTCAGGAACAGAATCGGCCGGTAGAAGGTGTTGGAGGAGTCCTGCCTTATCAGCCCTGACCATTGAGCATACGCGAGAGACAAGAAAAACATACCAAGATCTCAAGTCCAGCAAACGCATTGTACCAAGCCTGTCCGTTGCCGTTCAACGTACCACTGCCGAAGATCTTGATATCGTTTCCACCCCAGCGCCAGAATGTGATTGACTTTTGGAAGTCATAGTAGTAGTTGTTGGCTTGCCAGTAGGTGATGTTGTTCGTGAACTACAAACATCTGGGTCAGTTATTTTCGCCTCCTCAAAGTTTCTCCTGGGCATTTGACAAGATACCTTCAGTTCACCCTCCAGCTGCACTTCAATATTGTCCAAGAATGTCAGATCCAACTTCTTTCCAATCACATACTTCTTGCCTTTCTCGAGCAGGAGGCGTCCGCCGTGGTTGGCCTGCTTGATTCCCCAGAGGAAATCACTCGAGATATCGTCGTAATCGTTCTTGGATGGACGGATTGTCACAGTCTTGCGGTTCGGGTATTTGGAAGAATGCGCTCCCACACTTCTCAAGCCAGCTGCATCAGAGATTGGAATGATCTTGGCTCCATTGGGGGTTCCGCCCACGGCAGCCGCATTCACGGCAACAGGCACAGCGCTCAGTAGAAGCGCAGCAATTGAAACGAGCTTCATGGTTGACTTGTCACTTGCAATTGAGCTTTTACTATCCAAACTTATCTTGAGCGACCGTCCCAGACTGGTTATTTATGCCTGTCCTTGACATCAGGGTCTATGTTTACCCGCTTGCATCACCCCCAGAATCCCCGCTGGGGTAAGAATTCTGGGGAAATCTTTCCGGGGCAGAGCTCGATTTCTCCACCTGTAGGATTAACCCTGAAGAGGAGAGATGATTGATGTCATGGCTAGGCATCTTGGCTCTTTTTTGACAGCTCTGTACCAAGATTTGGGCATGGGCTGGCTCTGGGGTAATTTCCCCGGATCGTTGCTCGGTCTTGGAGGATCTTCCACCAATGGATGGAACGGTTGTTGACTGAGCCTGCAGGTCGGGATGTGAGTTTGTGTCAATCTAATGGAAACGGTTCAGGCTAATATGCAGACTTGGCTCGTTGAGCTAGACTCGTCCGCACGGGTTGATACTGCGGTGAGAGGCTGGTCAATTACGAGAAGGAGATTGTAGCCAAGGTGGACATTGGGGCAGAAGTATATTAACTCAATGCCAACAAGTCCATCCCTTCCCCCGCAAAAGCAATGTGGTAATGGATTATCGAAGGAGGAGTTATATCCGGGGTTCGTCCCCGATATCGCTCTCTTGCAAGTTTCCGCTCATGCCTAGAGCACTTCGCGATGGATTTCGGAGCACAAAAAACCATGCACTCGCTTAGTGACTGATTATGACTGAGAGATGGTCGTTACCAGAAATCAAACAGCAGACACGCAAGACTCGACTACCTCTACCTCTACCATCAAAACTGTCCCCCCTGAAAGATCGTCGCGACCCTCATTTCCCCAACCCCTCAACCTCGGCAACCCCGCAGATCTGGCGTCCCCAACCTCCCCAACTTCCATCGGAAACATGAACCCACATCACGAGTATCTTTCATCTGCTAATAGTATCCAGATAGTCAACACGGCCAAGTTTTGAAACCATCCACCCGCAAAGCTTTCCCAAAAGAGCTTGTTCTGCTCAAGAAGAGGGAAGAAAAATCACAGCCTCTTCCCGGCTAACATCAACGCTGTCAGGCAACCCACGTTGCCCAACCACCACAGCAGCGACGGCACAAAGTTCAGTTGGTCCGATTCAATCGCCACGGCTGAAATTGCATATGCCACCCGCAGCAGCGAAACCCACAGCCCAATCCAGTTGATGATCTCGGTCGGGACACCTGCGTGAAGGGCGAGAAGGACTGCTCAGCCCAATCCGGGATTCCAGAGATTAGCATTTCTCGCTTTGCTTCCAGGATGTTTTGGTAGAGATGAACGCGTACCGCCCGCGATAAACAGCGGGAATCCCTCGATGACACTCTCATAGACAGCCTCCCGCCGTTTAAGTCGGTTCAGTTGTCCTCGGGTGATCTTGCCGGCTTGCACGGCTGCTTCGCCGTATTTGAGCAGATTCTCGCGGGGAGCATTGTTGGGGTCTTGCCCGAGTCGTCGTATGGCTGCTCGGGGGTTGAGAATGCCGTGGGCGAGGAACCAGTTGCCGATTATATAACTTGCTGCATAGTTGGGCGTGGGTGAGGAGGCAGTCGTGCGGAGGCCGAGCGTGGCCAGGAGAGATCTGCTGGGTCGTGAGTATCGTACAGAGATAACAGCATTTGCAACAAGACTGAGACACGGCTCACGCAGTGGCTGGATGGTCGGACATCTTGTCTTATCGCTATGTCGATTGTATAAATTGCCAAAGAATCAAGGGATTCTGGTTGCTGAGCTGATGGTATATATGGGGATGACATCCCGCGAGGCGCTGAGGCTGAGCCTATGATCTACATGGGCTGTACACCTGCATGACATCTTGACTGATGGCCGTGTACAGTAGAACTGGCGTGTGCGAACTGTACTCGTATGCAACCAACAGGTGGCGTGAAGTGATGCGGTTCTATTGGCCTCAATCTTAAAGAGCTCTTCTGAATCGCTGTAGAACGGCTTAGGTTCTAGCATATATCCAACACCAATGAAGGAGATATAAGTAAGCAGATTTCGAAGGTTAGACCCTTGTATTGCTGACTACGGCTCATGATTCGCAGGCTTTTCGTTATAGCATTTCTACGCTGGTGCCCCATGACGTCATTGTCGGCTCAGATGATTGCTGACTGCGTTCAGGTAGCAAGGGTTGGAAAGATCATCTCGTAAGAACTTTGACACTTCGTCACCACTTCTCATCTACAGATGAAATGGCGACCTCTTTGTATGATTGAATCAAGCGCCAGGCAGTATAGTAACTAGGTAGTAAGTTACTCGTGGTTAACATCAATCAGCGCTTGGCTTGTCCCGGCAAGCGCGCTTATCAGATCCACCTTTGAAATCTCCTGTCAAACGTCGGACAAGATGCCGTCTTAGCTTGTGGAACCAGGATGCCCATGTACATTTGTATCTAGATTAAGCGGGTTGTATTTGAGTACTTATACTTTGAGAAATGCACTTTACCCAGAGCCACCACCAATGTCATGAAGAGCAAGCTGCGTCAAACCGACCAGCCCGCATCATCCGTAAGCATGCGATAACCCGGTTTCCGGGGTTGACCGACCGCCACATCGGCACATCTAGCCGTGAACTTTTTATGTATGGGTACCATGGGGTCGATCCCCACGTTCACAGCCAATTTGTAGAAAGAACTTGAAAGGGTCCCAGTGAGAACCACCGTCCCCATGACCATGACCATGACCCCGTTCTCTTACGCCAGTCGGGTCACTGTAGAATCCGACCAGCGTCTAAAGTCCGAGACAAGGCTGCGTGCGATTATTAATAACGAAGCGGAGCATCGCGGATCCTCAGCCGCACTCCCCATGCGTTGCGGCCAGACTGATAAAATATTCACTAACGCTAGCGGTTGCGTTGCATTGCGCTGCCACGGCGATGTGATGTGATGTGCACTAGTCTAATAAGCTTATACACCGTGTTTCTACTTTTCCTTTATGTTGTTGGTAGCTAGACTATCTCTTCAGCAACACGTACCTTGTTAAGTTACCTTGTGACCATAGCTTTGCTGGAAGAGATCCCGATCCCACCCCTGTACAGTACAGTCAAGATGTTCACACTACCATTGCTGGTGGTTACCCTGTTCCTGCAGGTCAAATTCCCAGTGATACCCGGGTTAAAGGCTGCCCTCTACGGGGCTCTGGTTCTGAGTGCGCTGCATGCCATCTTTGTGCCCCTGAAGGGCCACGGAGACTTTGTGACATACACCAATGCCTTCCTGAGCGTGTCGTTCATCATCCGCGCCGTGGAGCTGCTGGTCCTGCAGGAGCTCGACGACCTGCAGCATCTGGAAAAGGTCTCGCATGTGTCCTCGTCCATTCTGTACTCCTGGGAGCCGCTGCCGAGAGCCCTGGGCTTCCGGCGGTTCCTCCGCGTCTGCGATCTGATCGCTAACCCGCGCGCCATTGGCTGGAATCACGGCTCCACCAAGTATCTGCCGCCGCTGCGGCCGGTTGAGGGCGAGGCCGGCGGCGATCACTGTGCGCCGGAGCATCGAAACATGGTGGTCGTGGCTGTCGGAGACCGCAGCAGCTTCCTCCGCGCGCATCTCGGCACCGCTGTCCTCGCGTATCTGACCATGGACACCTACCAGGCCGCGTTCATGCGCAACTACCCTCTGCTTTGCGACAGCGTCGACCGCTTCCTGAACGGCGTGCTGGGCTGGCAGGTCTCCCCCGCGACCAGCGAGATGGTGGTGCGGAGGTATCTGCTTTCTCCCGGCTGTTGGATCGCCGCGTATGCCTTCGTCGATGGCATCCATTCTGCCGCGGGTGTCTTTTCCGTGGGCTTGGTCAGGCTCTTCACGTCCAAGCATGCGGGAGAGCCTTGGATGTATCCCCCGGTTTTTGGGTCCGTCCGGCATCTGCTCGCGTTCAATTTGCGTGGTATGATCCCACTTCTTCTTTACCCAATTGCTTCGACTGTCCCGCCCTTTGATTTGAATAGATGGCTGACTAGAGATCGATTCGTTGTCTTCAATTTAGATATCTGGGGCAAAATGTGGCATGACCTGTGCCGCAATCCCTTTTTGGCGCTTTCCCGCGCGGCCATCATTCCGGTGAAATCGATCCCAGTAGGCCTGCAGCGCTTCCTGGTGATCTCATGCACGTTCTTTGTGTCCGGTGTGGTGCACGTGGCCGGAACGTATGCGGTCTCCCAGGACGTCTTTGCAGTCAGCATGATGATGACCTTCTTCTGCATCTTGCCGTTCTGCATCACCGCGCAACATCTCCTCTCCGATCGATTTCTCCCGTTGTTACTCCCTCGGAGTGCGTTCTCCCGATTGGCGATCTGGCTGGTTAATATGGCCTTCGTCATGGGATGGGCCCACATCACCAGTCCGTGGTTCCTCGATCATAGCAAACTGCCCGAGGCTATCGGATCGGTGCCGCTGCCGGTCAGTGTGTGGAAGTTGGCGGCCGATGTTTAGAACCCTACTACCTCAGGAAGCCACACAGGATAAGATTTTTGCAGTTGACTTGCACGCGCAGCAGACGCTCCTCGATATTTGAGGACCGGTGTTAGATCAATAAAGATATTGCATCCCCACTATGGAGTTTTGTATCTAGCCTCATTGTCTATTCTGTTTGTTGTTAATACCACAGCCGTCCAACATGGCCTTCCCACATAGAACCCGTACATTTCACCTACTGGAGGACACACTCTGAAGCATTCTCGTTGAACGGAACAGCTTATCTTGAAACATTGTGGGATAGACATTCATAAATAAATGTCCAGCATGGTATCAATCATACTAAACAGAGATACTCGGTCCACTTGAATCCCTTTCGACACTCGTCTCTTGGATTCGCCATCGGTGGGTAGTTCACAATTCGCCGTTTTGATACATCTCCCACCCATCGCACTCGACCTCGAATTCAAATGGGACATCATCGACAATGAAACTCAAAGCCGCGCACCCAACTCTATAGTGCTCTCGAAACCAATCATCATAGTCAAGATCGCTGGAGGAGTACGCGCCAGGAATACCGAGCAAGCCGCTCGCAGGCGGAAATTTGGGCCTTAGAGAAACTTGCCGTAGACATGCAAAGTCGAATTTGCAATATTCGACTAAGCCGGCCATCATCTCATAGACTGGATAGTCGCAAGCGATAACTGTGACAGTCTCAATATTCGATGGCAGATTGCCAAAATCATGTAGTATGCCTTGCTCCACCTCCAAGTGCTTGAGGTTCTCGAATGCCCGGAAACTTCCGTACTGCGGGCAACGATGCCAGTTTGGGATACCTATGGGGTTGGCCACATCCAGGTCGACGCGCAGCGACTTGATATTCTGCCGTTGAGGCTCCAGACAGGGAAGTAGCGCCCGGGCTGGGAACTGACAGACCTGCCTCCGGGCATCCCAGGGTACCGTTGATTCGTATATGAGGACCTCGAGATGATCGCACGCTCGCATGATATTTGTTAGTCGTGTTGCATCCAATGAAGCTCTGATGAGATGTAGCTCGGAAAATTTGAAAGAACCAGGTGGAAGCTCAAAGTTTGGACACCCAGAGCCATTGCCATCGCAGAATGTTAACGAGAATTCCTTCAAGCTAGGCAAGCACATCAAGTCGACCACTTCCGGCATAGTCGGATGTCGCATTTTGTACTTATCCTTCAGGTGAAGAGACTTTAAACTAGACAGGTATGGAGGTTTACCATCGGGCCCGGGTAGGTAAAGTGGCCTCAAGCAGCTTAGACCTTCGCGGCCGCTCACGATATCTATATTCTCAAGATTCGGGGCTAGAGCAACGATGATCACAATCAGCGGATTTATTCTTGCACCGTTGATGGCAGTCACATAGTCGAGCTTGCAGGGAATCTGCATCTGGTGGATGATGCCGTTCAACACTCCGATGGTTTCGTTCCTAGCTGCTGCTGGCCATTGGCCGGACGAGTCTGAAGGGCTGTGATTCGCATTGACGCAGAGGTGAAGTAATCGTTCACCCAGGTCAGGTCGCAAGGCGAGGGTCCTAGCGAAGGCGAGAAGGGGACCAATGCGGCTCGCTCGCTTCACATATACCTCTTTGTCATAATCGAAGACATACTTGTACAACACATTGAAAAGCAAAGGTTGTGTAATATCCCGCAGTCGTCTCGATGTTAAGCAGAGATTCAGTAGTGTTCTCACTCCACGGGGACCACGGATGCAAGAAAGGATGTCCAACACAATCTCAGTGGGTAGCGTTTCGAGTTGAGCCATGGTCATAAGTTACTCGGTGACGAGACCTTAGCTAATGAGATTTGACTGCGCTGAAGGAGAGTCAGAATCTACCAGGTCCATCGCATAGATGCAAGCATCTCGAGCAGGCGCGTGCCTCTGGTGAAAAGATTTGTTAATCCCAATTGCGGACACCAGCTTTTCGCCATACGAGAGTCCTCTGAAGATACTCACCTCTCAATTAAAGATAGAGACTCCCAGCTTCATTCTTTGGTGAGGGTATATGCGCCTAAGCGGCTTTTTGGCCAGTTCGGATGGTCCCGAGACAACAGCTGCCTGTCAGGACTCTAACCTAGATCTCTCTAATAGGAAAACTACCCCAGCAGTTATAGTCAAGGGGGAAATTGGCTGTGATTGAGCTGTAGAAAGTTGATTCGTGGGATGATCATGAATGCATGCAATGTGAACCACGACTCATGCAAATTGAGCCTTTTTATCATCGGTGCTCGTCTTGGGGGGCGCCTCACAACTCCTTCCATCTTGGGAGGAGGATAAATAGCACATCGTGACGTCACATGCAAACCGACCAAACAGCCCGCGGTCCGCTTCTTCTCTTCCAATCAGCAACATCTTTTCCCGACCTCAACAAACACAATCAATGCCAAAAGGCAAACAATTGTCAGGCTTTGATCAATTTACAGGGTATCAGTCCTGTTTGACCCCTCGCCTCTCGCCTCCCCCCACCTACTAATGCACCTCATGCTGGACCTCATGCTGGACAACTTTCCCGAAGACGTAAAATGTTTTACAATGCTCTGATCCGCACCCATCACATCACCTCGCGCAAGAAGGTCTCCGCCCTGAAAAGGGCAGCCGACATGCACAATTGCTTCGTGCTGCTACGTTCCGGAGGTTGTCCAGGGATTATGTATGTGGAAGCGAGAGACAAAGACGCCGTCGAGTCGTGGGTGAATGTTGTGCGGAATTTGAGGTATAAGGATTTTCAGCTGGTCACTCGACCGGGGCTGTTGAAGGTTGAGTATGAACCAAACAGCGCTGGAAATCTGGCCAACCACCCTAATCAACGGCCTGGCGTCTCTGAAGTTGACTCAGTCAAGGAATTTGGGGGCCTGATGGAGCAGCGGGGGGTGTGGAAGTGGTGGAGAAAGGGAATGGGCTATCTGAGTTGATTGATGTGTGGCGATCTTTCGAGCTTTGGAGATTCAGTGTTGGCGAAGTTCGTTTGCCATCACATTACATCACTTACCTCAATCGGAGTGAGCTGATGCGCACTAATCAAAGAAGCAATTAGAGTCCTCACTGCGACTTTGCCTCTGTCGATGCGCGAGCCTACGCTACTGAGTCTAACTGTCGCACCCTTCTGTGAGAGACTGCTTTATCCATACTTCACTTCAATACACACCAGCATGAGGGATATCATGACGGCGTGGTTTTTGACCTTGTTTGAATTTTAGTTCATTCGTCTATTCACTTTGTCCCTCCTTTTCCAAATTGCCAATATCTCCAATCAATGTCAAGAGGGAGAGGTCAAACCTTTCGCAACTATTCGTTATATCACTTCGCCTCGTCCGACCACATGACAGGATTATCCCCGGGCAAGCCGTCAAGAGGCCCACTCTGTCCTAGTTCATCCTTCGGCTCCCCAGCATCCAAAGGCTGCGACAGGGGCGTCAAGGCCCTCTTCTGGGTTCTTGTTACCGAGCAATCAGGATCGTCTAATCCTTTGGGCCCCGTACAGGTGTCCATAGCTTGTTGCAGGGCAGCTTGGTCGGTCCAGCCATGGATGAAGTCACCGTGCAATCCATACCCAGTTGCATCACCCATGGAGTACACTAGGCTCTGGCGACTCCCTATTGGAGCCGTGTTGAAGAAAAACTCCAGAAAGATTGAGTATATCGCCACTGGGTGAGATTCAGGACAGACGCCTTTGTTATAATCGCCGACCGCTGGATATGCCATCTGGAAGTGTACAGTATATTAGCCGGGTATTATGAACAAAGTTATGTGGGTTTCACATACATGGCTTTTGTGATCCGCACTATCGAGGTTTTTACCATCCCAGCAGGAAGGCATAAAGACCTGCGACCGCACGGTTTGGCAAGGTTGTCGTGGGAAATGCTTTGTTTCGTTGGAGCTACCGTCATACTCTATGCACATATGCGATATGGCTTTCTGAGCCAAATCAGAGTCATTGTATGATCTGTCCTTCTCAGTTAGTCACGAGGTCTCAGTCAAGGCCGTGCTGCTGTTCGAACCGAAGATCAGGATCCCCAGCTACCATTCTCAACCCCTCTGGTGGTGCTAATGGATACTCCAACGCATCGCAGCTCGTTACGTCAACTCCATACTCACACGCTCGGTTAAGATAATATATAGCCTGATTGACTGAGTCAGTTCGCCGCTGCACAAGGGAGACCGTACTACCAAAGGGGCATCATACACTCGACTGATACTCCACGAGCTGGAACGAGCCATTCTGCAACTGATTGTACAACTGTGGGATCCAGTAATTGCTCTTATCAATCGCTACGCCGCAAGTCGTCTCTTTGGCGTTGCGGGCGGTGTCGACGCCCATTGTCCTCTGGAATGCTGTCCCTCCGGCAACCACGTGGACATGTTCTGATATTCCACCTGGGGAAACTATCGGGTCTGAGAGTTGTGTGGTCAAGGGGACACAACTGAAAGTGAATTCATCGGTCGTGTGCTCTATGCTGGTCGCAAGACAAGAAAGTGCCAGGATTGATACGAGGGAGGTGAGGACATGGGGCAGTCTGGCCTTCATGGTGATACCGACATCAAGTCAAGAGGGCTAAGCTCAGCGCTGAGAACAAATAATCTTGTGTCGGGAAGACAAGGTTTCTGTGCTGTGTCTCAACGTGTGTTTTTGCATTTGGTTGGGGTTGTCGCGGGCATAATATTGTTTCGTGTGCGTGCGGAAAAGGTACTCCCCATGCCGGCTTGATTTGGGGGGTTGATCTCATCACCACCAGGCTTGTGAGCGCCAATGTTTATGTCTCGAATCAAGGAATGTGTCAGAGCAGGGAACAGAACTATGCTTCAAGTATATCATTCATGTAACCTCAGATACCCATACCAAGCCACTCATACCTCAAGGAATAATGCTTGTCGTCTTGGGACACATTCCTAGCCCCTTATTTTGTGTGTCATTTTGCCTTCGACATAGGTTGCACCGGCACAATGAGGTTTGGATCTTGACTTCCCATTACTGGAGACGATATATGCTGTGCCAGCCAAGTAGTCAATTGATCATCCACAGATGAAATTTCGGACTGGTGCCGCCTTTTGTCAGATTTGGGCGAATGTGGGCAAACACGCCCCTCTATCCAATGCATTCCCGAGCTTGTGGTTTTGATCGTCCATTTTCACTCCCTCCTGATTGCAGTGGATGCAAACTCGCAACCATCCATCCCACCATCCCCTAAAATGTAGACAGTAACCATCTATGTGGTATTGGGGCATCGGCACCTTTTGGAGGACCGGGATAAATGGGGACCAAGTAGATAAGGCTTCGAGTTGAGTGAGAGGCAGACGTATTAGGCAGGTATGCCCTGATCTCGTCCTGCATACATCTTGAATGCATGATCATGCCATCGCCATTCTACACCGTGCCACTGATCCCCTGTCAGACCAGGCACATGGATCGGATCCAGTCGGTTATGGTCGGCGTAGTAAATCTAGTGTCGTAGCTAATTAGGTAGACTCCTCTCTGACCCAGACCCAGAGATAAGGTAGACGAGGCAATAAGAGGGCTGGCTAAAGTGGGTGCCTAGCGCCAAGCACAGGTGGCTCTGTGAACTAGCGAAGGAGTGGGCTGAGAACCCCACTGTGCTTGTTCCCCGATCATTGTACATTTGTGTCGTGGTTGACCTAGATATCTAGCCATTGTGGAGAGTGGAAAAACGGGATGAGAAGAGAAACTATCCGTGGTGGGGATGTATTGTGGAGAAGGGCATTACAAAATCCTCCAGCACACCCCAGGACCATTGTTGCTTGCTTTCGGTTATCATTATTCAGAATTGCGTGTCGATCCAGGAATATATGTACAATGTGTCATTCTGCTGCTGCAGCGCACCGGCGAGATGCCCGGGCCGATCAACGAACCTGCTCAAGTCGGGTCTGAATCGTCCTTTCATCAAAAGGCCCGTCTTCGCCGACATAGTTGCGAAGTGCTTCCGAGAACATCAAGCGCCGGGGCGCCTTGCGTCCCGTCATCAGCTCAATTTGCGAGATTGCTTGTTCGACTACATTATCAAGTCCATCTACCAAGACCCACGGCCGGCCCGTCTCGCTTCTGATGCTACGCATTTGGCGTAGCAGTGGCGTGTCCAGTGGTTTGTAAGCGAACTAGGTTCAATAGATTAGCGACGCCCAACTGCTTGAGATTCCTCCACGAAACGTACCTCAAGAACCACACCTCCGGTCGGGCTGCCCAACCACTGCATTGGCATTTCGAAGTTGGCGGGCGGTTCGTCTCTGTCAGGATCTGCTGGTACACAGGATGCAATCATACAGGGAGGGCAAGCATCGGCCGGCCATTCATCTTTGAGTGATTTCAGCACGTATACTACTTCTGTCGCATCCACTTGAGAAGCTGCCCAAGAATTGAAGTGTCGAGCCACACTCTCAGCCCGTGCCAATGTCCGATTGTATATAAAAATTTTCCGGCATCCCAGGCGAAGCATGGCATAGACTGCCGCGCGAGCCATGCCACCCGCTCCAATCACCAGCCCCGTTGTTTTCAAGGGACTGATTGCATTGCGTGGGGAGAGGTTGCGGTTGATACAGGTCATAATACCTGCCCAATCAGTATTCTCTCCGTACCACCCCACCACAGGCCCGGCCTGGTTACGTCGACTCGCTTGCTCCTGCAGGGAATACATGGCGCCATCAGCGCTGGCCCGTAATGGCATGATCGTGTTGATGGCGCCAATTGCCTCGACGTGGCGGCTCTTCGCCACGAGCTTGTGAGATAAATGTACTCTCCAGGGCTGAACCACACTCGCCCCTCCGAAGTGTGGATCGCGACCCAGCCGATCCAGAATTGCAAGGGAGGGAGAATCGGGTATCGTATAAGTGTGGTTCATACCGCATTGTCTAAATGCAGCATTGTGCATTGCGGGAGAAAGACTATAGGCAACATTGCCACCCAGAATGCAAAATTTGAGGGGGTCAAGAACATAGCTCTGGAACAGTGCTTGGACAGCATCCCGAGAAGTGATCTGAGGATCGCGTCTATTGTCTGAGGAGCGCTCAATTGCGGGATGCGTGACGGGGGTAAGAATGGAGTTGAACACTTGGGAGGTCCGTCCAAGACTGCCCACGTTGTAGGCAATGACTGGAGGGTGTTCTCCAGGCAAAGCCTGAACCTTGTTTGTGAACTTCACAACGGCCGCATTCTCCTCCCGCGCCGTAATGACGCGAAGAAAACGGACCAGCTGACAACCAAGCTTTTCGGCTTCAAGGTAGAGATCAAAACATGCTTGGCTCTCCCAGGTTTCCGGAGCGGACGCCTCAAATATGCGTTGGCCTATGATCTTGGTCCCTCCCCTAGTGCGGATTGCTTCGCTGATTTGAGACCGATCCTGATTAAGGTCGAGCGCCAAGTACTCGACTCCCAAGCGCAGGCCATGCTCCACGATGGCAAAATACGCATTGCTGACTTGTGACGCAGAGGAATTGCCTTGGGCAATGCCCGTCGAAGAAGTATCGATGGATATTATGATCGGGGTGCGAGCGCTCCTCCGAAGCAAAGAGACATGCTTGCTCATTGTCGCTGCCATATCCACACCCCAGCGATCAACGCAAAGCTCAATGGCATCCCCGCCCGATTCCAACTCAGGTATCTTCACCGTGTCCTCTAGAAGGTCGGAAGAACGCACAAATATAGCATGTGTATAGGACCGTAGTTCTGGCGGCGTCTCAAGAAGGACAAAAGGCGAGTCATAGCTGGTGTGACCCACATCTGTGCCTGTTACGAACCGGACAAAACGCGTGAAATCTTCTTTGGCTTCTTTCAATTTGAAAGAGTAGTCGACGCAGCGCCGATCGGGGGTCCCTTCATCCGTTTGGGCAGCTAAGCTGGAGCGGTCTTCGATATTGTAGAATTCAAAGTTGGAGCACGTTCGATGCAGAGGATCTCCCTCGCCGATGAGCTTGACTGCTTGACCCTCTAAGCCTAATAGGCTCTGTATGCGATCCATATCACGGATTATGTACACGATTGGATTGGTGGCCGAGTACTGACGGAGATGCTCTTGCACGGGACGAGTCAAACTTCCCAGCCCACACTCAATCACGCACCGAGAGCGGTGATTGTCTAGCATGGACTTGAGGACGTCGATATCGCGCCTCTGGAACTCTTGGCTCCCATAACGCTTGAGATAGTCATGTCTCGTGTAGCCCGTACGTTCCTTGAAGTAGTGATCCTCAGTAATGAATCGTCGTTTTAATGCAGTGGCAGCGACAAACCCCAGAGACCTTTTGCCGCAACCCCGGATTCCCACTAACACCAAGGAGGCATCCGGGTCAAACTTTCGACGCTTGTCGACTGGTGATTGCTTATGCATTGTGTTTGATGAATGGTTGATTTCAGGATGAGCAGCACAATCTCGAACAGGTGCACGGGAGAAGGCCCGTCCCAGAGATTCCAGTGCAAAGGAACGATCCGTTGGACGGGAGTCGACCGGCTGTGCGATTAATAAATAGCTAGGCAAGTGCCAGATGTGAGAGGCTTAGCGGCGGTTGCAAGTCATTTCCAGGCAAGCCATGATGCAGATGATTGCGGAGGAGCGGAGGGCAATTGATAGTTGAAGCAGCAGCGGCGGCGGCGGCGGAGAAGCTATCCTGGGGAAAATGGCGGGGTGGGAAGAATGGTCTTGCGACAGCGGAGTGCGGTAAGGACGAGGGCGGTCAGCGGGGGCCGCGGGCATGCTGCTGCGAAGGACTCGGGAAGGATACCTAGTAGCCAATCCAAGACTTGACCCAAATAGCGGGGCTGTGATTTGTAGGGTGTGCGAAGACAGGGCGATCGATGGACGGTTTATAGCAGAACCAAACTCTCAGAGCCGGAGCATTTCTCGGCCAGAAGAGGAGAGAGGAGGGGGGAGCATCCCTGGCTCACTCACTAACTACCACTTCTCACTCTCACTCACAATTAATTCCCTTGGTGCCATTTGTCAGAATTCACCGCCTGCCACCTTCGCCATCAATCCTACTCCGGATAAGATCTTTGCCGACCCGGGACCTTGGTCCTCTCTCCCGAGTCTTCTTTCATCATGGGTATCTCACAGAGTCACCACCCACGGTTTGTTGCAAAGCTTGCAGACAGTTTAATGCGCTGGTGATCCCCCCCCCCTCCCCCTTTCCCCTCCTCTTCTCCCCACTCGAGTCGCAGGCAGAAGCCACGGGGAATTGTGCCCTCAACTTAGCGTCCCTAGAAGCTGATAGCTTTGTTTTCATACTTTGAGCCTGTCAAAACTCGGCAATTTCACTTATCTTTAAGATAGTGTAGGCTTCAGGATGATAGTTCTGTAGACCGCATCAAATCGGGATGCCGAACCAGTCTGCCAGTGGCCCGAAAATGATAGCAGCCTGGTCCAGGCTTGATGAGCAGCTTGACAATATTTTTATGGGTGATGGACACACTGGCACAGACAGCGCACAGCCGGAGTGATTGACTCAAAACAGGTTGGTGTGAACACTTGGAGCCGCCGGACCACGTACTTACGTACCCCATTTAATTCTCGATATTCCTGGGAAACCTTCAGCACTCAGCAAGAAGAGCCAAAATTGATTTCGGTGCATATGTCTGCCATTAATATCGCCTCTGTGGGGTGAGTGGCAAAGCGCCGGTTCTCGGCAATTTTGACTATTGACTATCGCCATAGACGATGTAAAAGAACCTTTGGTGGTATTCCAAGTGAGAGGACTACTCCGTGGGTAGTGGGAGTGGTAATTGAGTACGGAATACTCCTCTGCAGGCACTATTAGGGTCAGTGGTATAATCATTAGTGAGGTGGTTACTATTTTCGAACACCGCCTAATTTGCTTCATAACGTCGGACTGCTTGTTCTTAATTTATAAGCATATAATTAGAATCGTATAGTACTTACAGTCTCCCAGGAGGGCAGTGCTCGATGGTATGGCTCTCAGCTTCTCAAATTTTCCCACAGTGGAATCGTGGAGAAGCCGTGGGGATCCGGCGTGGGGTGGGAGGCCTTGCCGCCTGAGGCTTGATTCCCGACGGAATCGCCTCACAGTAACTTAGCGTAAGCTCCAGCTTTCTTCCTCTCTTCCTCCCGAACTTTTTGTTCCGATGTTTTCCCCCGCCACTCCACTTTTTCCAGTTCGCCGTTCATCGCTCACTAAAAGTCTTGACTCTCTGACCGCTGCGAGACCAACTGACCAGACTAATTGTCCGCTACAGCCTACCCTTGACCCTGACGGACGTATCTCCTCCCTAAAAAAAAATCTCTAAACTCGGCTGCCTCAGGATGGGGCAGGCCCAATTGATTGCCCATCTTGGACCGACCCAAACACTTTCGACAGTACGACAACCCAAAAGTAGCAGACAGAGAGACCCTGTATGTGGCTGTGGTTCAACTACCTACCAAGGCTTCCTGACCATTCTTGCGTAATTTCCCGCCTTCTATCTCTATCTGGGACTTCTGGGTCCCTGGGTTTCCCGACTGCGTTTATAACAAGCGGCCATGCACGGTTCGAGAGCCTAATCCAATCGAGGATCACTCACTACTACTACCACTACTACTACTACTACTACTACTACTACTACTACTACCACCACCACCACCACCTTTTCGGCCTTCATTGTCCCTATTCTCGGCTTCTTCGTCTCTTCAACTCGGCTCACAGAAGACCGACGCTCTTCCCCTGCACCCCCAACTAAGCTACCCTCCATTCTCCTCTTCCTACCCCTACATGGCTATGCCATTGCTTTCTACCATATAACCCTCCTCAATGGACGAGGGTCCTGATTCTAAAGCTCCTCGCCGGAAGAGGGTATCTCGCGCCTGTGATCGATGTCGAAGTAAAAAGGTTAGTTATTCTTCTGCGCATATTACTTTCCCTTTTTTTCTTCAATTCATTGATCCCACAATCCCCCGACCTTTCCTGATCTGTCTCCATCGGTGTATTGTCGCCCGAGCCGCCGCGCGTGGGTTGCTGCGATTTGTTACATCACCCACATCATGAATTTACCCTGCCGGGGTGGGAGCTTATGTTTGCTCCCTTCCATCTACCACTCGCATCCTTCTCTTCACCTTTTTTGTCAACCACTCCCCACACGTCGCTGCCATTGATCAGCATCCCTTGTCTACAAAGAGTCGCTGGTTCATGTTGACACGATCTTCTGCTATAGGACAAATGTGACGGTCTCCGTCCGGCTTGTTCGGCCTGTCAGGCCTCCGGCCAGACCTGTTCCTATGATCCTCACGCAAAGAAGCGCGGCTTACCGGAAGGATATGTCCGCGGTCTAGAGAAGCTGTGGGCCCTGTCGATCTGCAACATTGAAGGCTTCGAAGACACCATGCTAGCTCTATTGGGCACTACAGCTGAATCTGCGAATCGGAGAAACAAGCTCATGTCACTCTGGACTGACGATAGCGCTTCTGAATCCCTACACGAATCATGGAAGACGAGTCGGCTCTACGGCGCGCTCGAGAAGATGCTTTCGAATTCTGATCCGTCGCCTCACCCCTCGGGGAAACGACCTCGAGAAGATCACGAAGACGACTCAACCGGCGCGGGGGCAGAATGGGGATTCCGAATCGATCGGAGCTCGACTGTCCAGTCGCTCGAAAATCCGCGCGTAGTCGGGCCGTCCAATTTCTCCCAAGCAAAGCGACCCAGACTGACATTACCACCTGAAAGTCAACCCCCGTCGCAGACCAAGAACGGGACGCAGGCGCTGCAATTGCCGCCGCAGACCTCGCAGCTCCTGGACATCTATTTTGCCGTGACTCACTCATGGTTTCCCATTGTTGCCAAGCACAACATCCTTCGTGCCTCCTACTTGTACGCAGGCGCGCCCGTGTCCGTGGCGAAAATGGCACCCGGTTCGGGTGACCATGCTGCCCTGTGGGCCTTGCTTAGTTATACCATCTCGCAATCCCGGATCAACCCGCAGGACGGGCCTTCAGGAGTGCTCGCCCAGACGAAGGAGTATTATTTGGTTGCTCGCTCCTTGATTCCGACTGAGACTGAACGTCATGAACTTGGGCATGTGCAGGCACTGCTTTTGCTCACCCTGGTCAATATGGGATTGGAAGATTGGACGGCCGCCTGGCTGTTGGGAGGTCAAGCAGTTCGGATGGCGATCTCCATGGATCTAGGTGTCTTCGCAGATGTGCGACGCTCTGACGAATTGCGGCAGGGCAAGGCCGTGTTCCTCGGCTGTTTTGTCGTAGACTCGTTGCTGTCGTTTCGTATGTCGAGGCGACCCTCCATGCATCCTCGGGATCTCAACACGGTGGGTTTGCTGGAGGAGGATGGCTTGGAAGAATGGAACTCATGGGCAGATGTGTTGCCCCCCACAACAGTCGGGCAGGGTAAGAGTCCGCGTCGCGGCCCTCTCCTCGCTTTGAGTTGTTTCAATCGACTGGTCGAGTTAGCTAGCGTGCTAAACAAGATCGCTCGCGACTTTACACCGGGCTCGGGCGCTCCTCTTTTTTCGCAGCAGCTGGTTCTCGAACTCAAGCAGTGGGATGATCGTCTGCCACTTGGATGCCGCTTGATTGGCCCGGAAAGCATCTATCCGGAACGACATTCCTCCTTACTTCCCCATCAGAGCTATTTGGCACTGACTTATGTTGCTACTCTTCTGTGGCTTTATCTCCGCATTGCTCCTCAAGAGCTCGGATTACCTCGGTCTCAACGTCCAGCTGTGGAAGGGGCGAAGAAGCTTCTCTACCGGGCGCTTCCTATCATCACTCAGCATCTAGAAAATTTCCAGCTCTGCGGTTTGCCGCCTCTGTTCGAACTGTCCCTACGGACTATAGCCGAGCAAGCTTTCGTCTTACGCAACAAGATCGAATCAGACATGTTCCCGTTTGCACAATGGGCGGAAGCATTGGTGGAGCGAACGACTTTACTAGGCACTACTTGGCCTGTCTACCGCTCATTGTGTACTACTATCGGCCATTGGAACCGTTCGAAGGAACTTCCTGGAACCCCATTGGCGTCTTTCCGGGGTGTTGAAGCAGAGGGTGCCCCACGGTTAGCACATGGTGTAACCAATAATCCATTCCCACCTGCGCCTATACCTACTTCGTCAGTCGGGTATCAAACCTTACCTGGGGAAGCTTCTTTAAGTGCCCAAACGCGAAGAAACGTTTCTGATTTACGTGACCCTGGTTACACGACGTCCATCACGGGTATCAGCATTCCAGCGGACGGACAATACATGACGCCAAAGGATACAGTCATGGAAAATGCAGATCTGCCGGTACTAGATGCGTCTTTCCAAGCCCCAACAGGAAGGGCAGCGGTCCATGTGGACAAGTCTAGCCCTGCGAATGGGTTGAGTGCGGCTCTGGCACGGGCACCACATTCTCATCCGACAACTCCTGATTCCTCCGTATCGGCGTCCTTGATGCCTGGTATATCCGGAGCACTAAGTGATCGTTCCGTTCCCCGGAGCGAACATATGGACCTTCGAGAATCTCGGACCACTAATCCTGCCGAGCCTCATCTTGGGTCAACAGGCGATATTGATGCCATTTTCCGAGATCTGGCTTACCTCGATACAACAGAATGGGCCACCAGTCGCGAGGCGGCATTGAAGGATTTTGGATTTATCGATGACAGCACGTTCCAGGCGTTCTGTCATGATCCAGATCGCCTTGCTGGGTCTCAGCCCTTGGTCCATCCGCCCTCAATTGCGGACATATGGCCACCTCCAGGCTTTTTCCCGGAAACATTCCAAGAACCGATGGAGGACACAATGGAGGGTTAGTTGGGGAAACAGCCGACTGGCGTCCCTTGGAAAGAACATGCCTAAGGAGTCTCTGTCTGGTTCTGTGGTGTGAATAGTGTTGCTTCATGGCTTGTAAGGCCATCAGCATCATCGGACAACGCCGTGAGATGGGTCACATAGTGCAGCGCACTCATCTCTTTGTTATCATGCTCTATTCTGATACCCAATGCAAGCGCGCTACAGGTATAATGTCTCGTTGATTCTTCTCCTAAGATTGATGTATTGTCTTGTAGTTCCGTAAATCTCAGGGTGGTGACATGGTGTAACAGGCAATACTTTCCGAGTTGGTGGTTGATGTACCATCATGACGCAATACTATACATAATTGCTATATAACAATGCTATACCTATACATTCTCATTCGCCAGGAGAGCATGCAAAGGTAGGTGATACTGTACTAGATGCAGGGACAACCGTAGGTAGCTAAGTATCTGAATGCTATAGTTGATATTGCATTGAAGGACTCGGTCGAGCATTCACGTGGGCAGGAGATGACAATGCTGCCCACAGCTTGCTCTGAGATCAACAGGGAGAGCTTCCCACCAGGTCTGAGGTTCACCTGAACGTAGAGTCGATGGTACCTCTCGGCCTTATCTAGACTATTCCACTTCTATCCATGAATGTACGCAGAACCCCGCAGGGTGTGGGGTGCCATTGGTCAACTGAACCTTGAGGCATTAATGATGAGCTAGGTATCGCAAACCCAGACACCCAGGTAAACTCTTTCTCCCGCTCCCCCCTCCCCCATCCCCCCTCTCACACCCTTCTCACTTCGCACTCAAAATAAGCACCTACAAACAGCGATGCCACGCTTCTCTCACAATGCGATAAGCCATCCGGAGCGATCTACAGAAATCCAGGCCAAAGGCTAGGAATTGAGACTATTACCCTCCGTCGCCGCCCCTCATCGTTGAGCTAACGGGGGTAATTCGGGGTTAACTTAGGTTACCACCTTTCACCTACCACCTACATACAGTACCTACCGGGTGAGAGAGCCTAGCTAACCTACCCTTACCCATAAGTCCAGCCCCCGCGGTATATGCTTTCTCCTCACCTGTATTTTCCCCCTTTGTCTGCATGAGCTTCGTCTCTGATTTCCCCCTCTCCACGTCACCGGGAACCTCCTCAGCCCAGCCAATCATCAGCGTCTGAGCTGGTTCTTCGGACTCAACCTTGGGCCGTGGTGCTTGGAACTCCGACGGAGGGATGATTGAAGACCAGTAAGTAAGTAGTCTTGCCGTCATTTCGTGGACGGGTACTGTACTGTACAGTAACTTACCCCAAGGTACTGACTGGAGTAAGGTACGTAGCTGGCCTCCAGAGTCCCTGTCGAGTTGCTCTTCAATTAGAGGTTGTTCTAGACTATTGACCTACACAATCAAGATAGATGGTGATTGCGTCTCGGGTTGAGATCCGCTCTTTTTGAACCCTCTCTGCCGTTGAGTGTATGGTGTAAACCTGGAGTGATCTTCCCCACCCGTGCATACCTGGCCTACAGCATACATATTGTACAGGAAGCTCATCGCCCTTGATAGTCGTCGCCTTAGGCTTGTGAGATAGTCACTAACGGCTTCTTATCTTTACACCAACCCCCCACCCCTTCCCGCCCTGGTCTGACGGTGGAGACGACCCATCTCCGACTGACTAGTTGGCAGGCTAACGACACTGGTCGTCGAAGACTCGTGCAGGATTCTGATTGATGCTTCGGTTGCCTTGGATGAATGATTGTCGTGCGAAGCCACGGTTGGAGAAATCAATGTGGGTATCACTGCCGGTTTGTTGCCGCTGGTGTGCCCTGTGCGTACAGTAGTAGAGCATAGGTTACTTTGTACATACTAACTTGTATGCAATACATACTCATTGGAAGCGCGGACCTGATAATGAATCACAGCTAGCCACCTAGTACCCTTCTTCAAGGCAGCAATTTGTGATCGAATGCAGCTTTCACACACTGGGGTCACGTTGGATTCATTATCACTCCTGGATTATTCATGATATACTCATTGTCATTACCATCGATATACATCGAGCTCTCAATGCTGCAGACTTCCACCCCATTAAACACGCCAGACTGAAAATAAGATGCCTGAACTCCCCCACATAACTCCAGTCACGGAGCTTTCATAAACTCATCTCAGTATCATAACCAGATGGTTAAAACCCCGTCTCTTTTACCCTTGGCGGATGCAAAATAAGGACAGCGCAAGAACGTCATCAGAACCCGGAACGCCTCGACCTATCTTGCCAGTCGTATAATGTATAAAGTAAATGCAATAAGAGATGTTCTTCATCCGGTTAGAAAGAATGTGCTTTCAGGTGATGCAATAAGAAATCGGAGCGGGATCACCGTCGCCAGCCCACATTCCATATCACGTGAGCGATGTCTTTGGCTGTATTCATTGTATACATAAAGCGCTCGAGGACGCTGCCATTCGAGCTTTCCTCGTCTTCGGTGGGTGTAGACCCCGTTGAAGTCGAGCCGCAGTAGTGACCGAGCTCTTCGTCATCTTCGGGATTGACGAACCAGGGACGGCTGTAATGAGATGATTCCTGGGATCCCGGATTTGAGTCCCAATCAAAGGTATAGTCGCCGCCGTCGTCGTCCAAGAGGAAGTTGGCGGAAGCAGAAGGTCGAGTAGTCTGTTCCAAGGGAGTCGAGGAAGAAAAATAGTAGGACCAGCGATCCATTATCGAGCCTGCCGGAGGCTCGGGAGTGTCTCCACGATACTTCAACGTCGTCGAAGGAAGCGGAGCAATGGTTTTGTTATCGCCACTAATACTACCACGGGGTGTGCCCCGATCGCTCCGTTCTATGTTAGGATGAATCTGTTTCATCATCACGACACCATCCTCCGAGGAAGAGTCATCGCAAGCCCTTTGCGTCTCATCATCTTCCTCCTTTGCTTCCACAGCAATACATTGCACTACCTCATTGTTGAAATGGATATGCCGTTTTTCACTGGGTGACCCAATGCCTGACGACGTTGTCTCGGTTGTGGTTCCATGAATGGACGCCGGAACAAGAGTAGCGGCCAATTGGTTTGGCACCTGCTCAAGGTCCGAGGGGCAGCGCTGGAAAGACGGCCGACTTCGATTCGTCTCCGCCTCCTGTGCTTTCAGAATAGCCCCCGCATGCTGGAGGAGAGTATGCTGGGATAGAGAGCGTTGGAGGATAGTTTCAGATGCTGTTCTCTTTTTTAGAATCGGCTTCCTATCCGGATAAAGAGTTGGCGTTGCAAATCGACTTGGAGGTGGGGAGTCATCCAATGTCAATTCTCGTCTATCGCACGTTTTCAACGGGCCATACAGCCATGTCACGTCACAGTCCTTAAGCCTAGACAAAGTTCTTAGGATGTCTGCCGATCAAACAAAAAGGGCGAGATGAGAGGACCAACCAGTTTAGAGTCTCCGGGGATACCGTGCCCAAATTCATCTTCAGCTTGCCCCATGTTCGCCATGACGCATTCTCCAACCTCACTCCGTTATCGTAGGCGCTTCGCCGGGCGACCACATACCGCCACGAGGCCCATATATCCTCCTGCCGCCACTCGTGGGATAAATAATCAACATGTCTCGACGGCTCATCTTCGATTGAACTGTCGTCGGCAGCTGGTGTGTGCGCTCTCCATCGCTGAAGGTCCGCCGATGAGTCTACTGAGACTTCACTGAGAGCTTCCGGTTCTTTTGGGATGAACTGGTGAGAATCATACGACGGTAATATCAATTCACTGCCATCCTGGTCGTCACCCACATTCAAAGACAAACTGCTGAAAGCGGTGGCTGTCGACGAGAAATGGTCCGCAGCAGAGAGTGCAAGATCCGGAGAGGGTGGGTCGAGAGGGTGCATCGATCCGATCGGATTGGCATAGGCTCTTGATTGAAAGCCATGAACAACAGACTTGGCGGTAGCAATCTCTGGCTCCTCGATGAAGTAGGTCTGAGTGATAGGGGACCGAAAAGAATCTGGAGAGAAGCGTGAGTGCTCCTCTCGAGAGGCGGGAAGAACGGCAGTCATCCTTGCAATAAAATCATTCACGTCGATGGAGTATTGATGGACCAGCGAGCTTGTGAGAGGCGAGAAGGTCGGCGCAAGTGATGTGAGGAGGGAGCGAGCGATACTAGACACAAGCCGATGAAGAACGACCTGACAGTGAGAATTACAAAGAGTCTCCAGGCAAAGCGAAAAGCCTCGGATCTAGCGAAAGCGACGAAAGGCTGAGATCATGGCGCAAGGATATGGTTAATGGTGGAGGGCAGTATATACGGGACGAGCTAATCTTATACCGCGGGTCGAGGAACGAGCTAGATAATCCAGAAGAGGGGACGGAATGGCTGTTCTAGCCCCCGCTAGGTGAACAGAGTTGGAACCGACCGAAGAGCGCTGGTCAGGGATTGTGGGATAGTCGGTCGCACGGAGGATCGGAGGAGAATGTAAGTGAGGTAGTGAAAGAATCTAGATTGAGGGAGGGAGGGGGGCGAACAGTGTGGAAAAGACCGGGGGCGAGGAGGGGGAGCAGCAACCGTAGTGGAGGAGTAAGTACTGTGTAGATAGAATAGAAAGCACAGGGAGAGGGTAAGTTAACGCGTAAAATAACGTTAGGAGAGGAAATTAACGGGAAACCGGGAAGAGACAAAGCTCCCGCAGTTGATAGTAGTGGCGGCGGTGGAGATCAGGGTGGCATCAAAAGGGCGTTAATTCGCGATCAGTTACTCTGGGATCTCGTGTTGGAAGATGTTATTTTGCAATTTCATCATCTCCTTGTTAATTTGATTCTCGCTCTTCTTTTTTTCACCCCCCCTCACCTCTCAAATCTTGTTTCTCTGTGTCAGTCTTTTCGAATCTCTCACTGGCTGTTAGCTCAATGACAAAAGGCGGGGCAATTGAGCAATTGATAGAGGACTAGACGTGGTCGAGACCGACTTGAGTGACTGTTGTGTTTGATGGGGTTTGCGGAAAGAGCGAAGGATGGGAGAACTCGGCTCAGTGCTGCTGAAATTGACGTTGGCGGTTGACGCGTGGGTTGGAAGGGTGGTTTGGAAGGGATGGACGCAGAGTGAAGTGGAAGTAGTGGATCCGTTAACAAGGAAAAACTAAAAGAGCTACGTACAAACTTGTAGTGCCATAGCAGGAAAACATTTGTTAGTTTGTTGCTAATCCTAGAGGCTAGCTAACATGTACAATATGTGTTAGATAGAAAGTACTGAGAAGGAATCCTGGCAGATGTTCAGACATAACCTCAAAAGAATAGAAGGGAAGGGGGGGAGGAATAGAATGCTTACTGCATTTGGATTTTTTGGGGATTTTTTGGGGGGGGAACATACATAGTACAAACTCAGCACTAAGTAACTTATGTACACATACAGTAAGTTACTTGTCCATACGTACTCTGTAGAAATCATCGAATTGCCACCGGTTTAGTCTCCGTCAAGAACTCAAGATAGAAAAACCGGGCGCGGGTGGAGATCAAGCTGCGACACTAGGCTTGTTGTAACCTAGTTCTCTTTACCGTTGGTGTGACTTTGGGGGAACTTTTGGGGGGTGGAGAGACTCTGGAGACTCTTCTAGAGCGATAAGAGGGGAAACTGTCGCTGACTCATTGATTTTAGATGCTTCAGGGAGGGTCTAGACAGGGAGCCCTGAGGGACTGTACTACTACCTGTACTTCGAGTGCTGAGTACTTAACAAACTTTAGTAACCTCTTGCTACTATACGAATCACTACAGAGTGCTTCACCACTGTAACCACAGAGAGGTATTTGTAAGTTAAGTAGTTATCATACAGCACACAGTACTCCGTCAACACAGTAAAGTAATTGTCAACCAACTTCCCAAATTCACAATAGTCAGTCTAAATGATCGCATCATTCAGTCCCAGAGAATGATGGAATTATACCGCTTTGAGCTTCCTTTCCAACATCATGAACATCATGAATGCAACCAAACTCAGGTTGGTTCCTCCGTTCGGAATCAAAACTCTACTACTACGATAGGTAGGCATTCATCCATAACCTATGTACAGTACTGTACTGTAAAGTGTCTCCCGAATTCGATGATCTCCCAGAAAGGCGGGGTGTGCCTCAAGTTTGGTACGTATGGGTACTTCAGTCGGATTGGACCTACCTCCTTTAGTCTTTTATGTATGTACTGTACCTTTTACCCCTCTACACACGGGGTAAATACAAACACATAGAGAGAGAGAGACATTCTTCGGACAAAATTCGGAATGTTTCTTGGGGCCTCGATAGGTCCCCTTGCATAATTGTTGTACGGTACAAGAGCTACATAGTACGTCCGCACCTAGCGGATGATGTCCCGGGCATGGCACGGATGTTTTGCCCGCAGGGCTACTGCCAACGAGCTAGTGATAGATTACAAGTGCATGGTAGTTATGCTAAGACTGACAGTCCGAAATCCTCCGCGGTCGATCGGAGCTATTCGGACCGGAATAGAACAAGGGATAGGTGCTGTGCAGTACTCCGTGCTTCATCCATAGTACTCGAGTGGTCTAGATAGTCTTCTGCTCGTAGTACAATACTACTAACCAAAGATACAAACGAGCTCCCCTCTTCTTCCCGCTCTTTTGCCCCTTCCGACTGTATCAATGGTGATTGCACCCTACAAGTTGTACCTTGGCTGCATCTTAATCTATTCAACGGTCCAAGCGCATTGGCAACTGGAACCACCCTCAACAAGATCAATCTAGACTCATCCACTTTCTGAACGAGGTATATGTACAACCCTGTACTTGAATTAGGTAATATCTGCATTATGATGCACAAAAAAATGAAAGGGAGCAGTCAGTCAACGATTGGTGACAACAGGGCTTTCAAACCTCTCGGGGGTACAGTACACATATGAAACGGTGCGCATCGATACTACCTACCAAAGCACCACAAACTGGGTCAATTATGGTTCGTCCGCAATTATCCCGCAACCTCGGGGGGAAATACAACCTCAGAAGGGTGTGAAACCTACTCCGAATCACCAACAAAGACAAAGGGGAGCGAGCACCTGGGGGTCAAGTATGGTATAGTTTTCAAGATCCATCGGGCGGCTCGATGCACGTCAGTAAACGGCTGGCGGGGACAGTGGAGACTTTCCAAGGTTGGGAAAAGTGCAAGGACCTTCCAATAATCCAATCATTCCCACGAGGGTCTATCCTACGCTTCTCTTTGGTCAATCGGCTTCCATGATAAGAAAGCCAGAAGCCGGGGCTCGGTCCGCAAGGCAATTGACTACTTACAGTACATGCAACTGAGCTCCTCTTTGCTTCCCATTCCAAGGGTGTCAACTTATGATTTCCATGCAATGGGTCTTTTTTCACTCCGTAGAGCGCCATGAACAAAATCCCGATCCGGTTGCAGCTCGAGTGCAACGAAACACCCCCGTGCAAGCACCAATGGCCTCGATACGAACTCGACCCACCGGTCAATTGGGTTGTTTCTCCTTCAGAAGGTATGTCAGTTATCATAAATCTTTGCTAAGGATAAGAGCGACCTCGATTGATTACAAGATCATGGTTTGAAATAAGCAACGTGCTTGTATCCCTCTATGATTAGACAATTCATCGAAAAGCCCGGTTTTCCTAGGGGCTGTGAATGACGTGTCTCGAGGTCGACTGGCGACAGGACCTCTTATCCCTCTGATCTCCTTGTTAAATCATCCTTGGCACAAGTTAGGGCCATTCGTTGCGCTTGACTGATATCTATTGAGGGGCAAAATCTGACGCGGGAATGTCCTGTATTTCCCTCGTCCGATGAGAGGGGCTCTTGTCTTTTCAACACAAATAGAGTCACGCGGATTCGCAAAGCCTGAAGCTTCCCTCCGCATCATGAATCGGAGGCAGATGAAAGCGTACGAATCTCGCGCATGCTTTACACAAGGGGTGAGACGAGACAAATCTGCTCGAGGTTCAAGAGCAGAAAAGAGAATAAATCCAAATGAAAGTAATAAGATTCAAAAGCACAAGCATTCAGGTTACATGTTATGCATTAAGACCGGGCCGGTTCTGATCTCTCAATATGCTGTATGGAAATCTGTTTCACAATTAGAAACCCCACCCATCTCTTGATGGCTACTAACACATTATAGGCTGTGAAACCTATGTCACTCAACGAAGCCCACGTTTACCGATTTGCTTGTTTTCGATTGAAAGCGCGGGCCCCTTGTCCGCGGAAGCTGCCACTTTCCAGGCAATATTCTTCGAAAGTCGTGTGTATGTATGTACAAAACAGAAGCTTCGTGATCTGCGAACTTAGCCCTACCAGAGCGAGTCTCTCCTGAGAGGAAGGCTGGTTTCTGGGAGAGACCGACTTCAGTATACCTCTAGCGGAAGCATGCTCGTATTGTAGACAAGGAACCAGCCGGCGACTCCCCATGAGGTAATCCCAACAGCCACTTGCGATATTGACAAACTCCGGCCACTTTGCCCTAATAGGCTTTAGGGGTAGTATGGGTCAAGGATTGATCTCCTCATCATTTTGATTGATGACCAGATTATCATTCGCAGGGAGCGTAGCGTTGCTCTGGCCAACTCGGTAGGATTCCTCGAAATCGGGATTGTGCCTGTTAGTGCCTGACGTGGTAGGCTTCACTTTTCCACTTGAGGCAGCGCTCATTGCCACTGGGCACCTGGCTCATCTGCCTGATGACTTAGTATTGAATTGAGGGTTCTTCGAAGACTCTCCCAGCAACGATCCCCTTGGAGCTACGGATGTCAGAAGCGGATAGTCGACTTCTCACTTCTAAATCATCGGGTTTCGCGTAACATAGAGAGCGTATCAGGCGGAAAAGAGAGAAAGCTTGTTTTATATCAAGTATGCATACCTAGAACCTCAGGAGTATGAACTAGACTCGGATCGAAACCTCACTATGTGTTCATGCCATCGTCACGGTACATGATCGTTCTTCCATGATTGTTCTCCTAGCTCATTACACTCGAACTTGCGTGGGTCATATTTTTCAATCGGAACTATATCACCTTATCATAAATCTTTCTGTCTCCTTTAAATCTTTGATGTTTCCCTTCCAGCCGACTATGCCTGCGCATTGAAACTGTGAATATACTCACGTGATCATTATTGCTGCGCTTCCCAATACAGTTAGTGGGGTGGCTGCAGGACCGACCCCGCGCCATCTCGATAAACTAAAGTGCAGTCGGTGATAACAGGGCTTCCGAACTCGACGAATTTCGGTGTCCTGGACAACAATCACTATCTTTCTCAACCGGCCCTCATTCCATAAACCATATACAACAAGGTCATTGTGTCGGAAAATGGCGGACGTCGAGCAACCTCGTCCGGTGGAATCTCCGGCAAAGCACGTCCTGTACTGTGGAGGTGAGTGAATGCCCATCTCGAACTTGAGCTTCTATGATAGGAGAAAATTCATTTCTCGCTATTTTCGACCCTTAGACTGACAAGGCTAACGCAATCTATGTTTTACATGTACAGTCTGTACACTGCCTGTAGAAGTATGGCCCTCATTCCAGCCTTTTTGCCCAGAGCACGTTATAATCGGCAATATTTGGAATCGAACGACTTCCTCCGAAGATAAATGATTGACTCGTGGATCTCCAGTATTGCGAATTCGGCGGAACGGCGAAAAAGTGCGAAGACTGGCTGAAAGACACGCACCCGGACGCGTATCAGCAGCTCTATTCTGAAGGTTCGTCCGCTTTGTTCAGATCATTGTAGCAGGTTTTAGAACTCCCGCAGCTGACTCTGATATCGGACCGCAGAGGCTCTGACTTCCAAGCTATCTTCACTTTCGGTGTCTGCCCAGGAGCGTGCTGCTAAGGATGCGGCTAAGAAGGAAGCAAAGGCTGCCGCCGCAGAGGCACGAGATGCAGAGCGAAAGGCCGCTTCCAAGGTACATATCAAACGCGTTGAACGTAACAAGCGCAAACATGTCACTGTCATCACGGGCTTGGACATATACGGATTGGAGAACAAGAAGCTCGCCAAAGAGCTTGGTAAGAAATTTGCGACTGGTTCCTCCATGACTCGCTCTGCTGGAGGCACCGAGGAGATTACAGTTCAGGGTGATGTCAGTGAAGACGTGAAAGAATGGTTGTTGGAATTTTATGCCAAGGAAATCCCTGAGGTCAACATTGAGCTTATTGAAGACAAGAAAAAGAAGTCGAGCAGCTGATTCAATGTCTTTCGATGACCTATCATATAACGGCAGACTAAACGCTTAATGTACTAAATCGGATGCTTAGATGCAACTGGGTATCACACGCAAAAGCCAATATTAATGCAATGGGGTCGGGGCCGACCTTGACCTTCATGCCGAGAGTACAGAGACAGGACGCCGCACTTATAGCTTATTCAGAAACAGAAAATTTCAGAGGCTCGTCATCAGTAGGCTTCAAAATACCGGATCCCTGATACAGGGTAGTCTCAATTGGCTGCTTGATCCAGGTGGGAGTGTTTCCTCCTTGAGATTCGTGATTGTCCTCGTCCCGAAGTGATACACTACAATCCAACGTTGCTGTGCCTGCACGCATATTGTTGGGAATGGCCGAGGATTGTATTATGCTCCTGTTTTGTGTGGCAATGGCCAGAAGCACTGCAAGTACACCCGCTGCCGCAAAGGCCCAGAACATACGGAGCCTTCGATTCACGCGGTCTTGCCATTCCATCTCTTTCTTCTCCCAGTGAACGATCTCATTCCGCATGTTCTCAAGTCGATCGTTGAGTTCCTGAGCTTTCGTCCGCCCTATCTTCATGCGATCCTCCAAAGCTTCTATCCTTCTAAGCTGTGGCTGGAATTCTCGAAGCTCTCCAATCTCTTTTCGGATCTCTTGGTCGAGACTCGACTTTTCTCGCTGGAAATCGGCAAAGAGACTCGATGTAGAGTTCAGTAGTTCCTGGAAAGACGATACCGTAGCATTCAGGGCTGCCACCTTCTCCAGAAGGTTATAGTACGTGTAATCCAGACGGCGCGTGATGTCTGTAGCCAATGTTCCGATAAGTGATAAAGCGGACCTCAAATACCTGGCGTGCAGTCAGTCATACCAAGCCCGGTTCACAATATGGCGTTCGGAACTTACTCCTCGCCATATTTCCGTCTGCTTTTCACTTGCTCCAGGTCCTCTGACGATCGGATTTCTTGACGTGCGACCGGGCCAGGCTTTGTATTTGTATCAATTCCCTCGAGTATGCTCTCCCTCCGGCTTCCGTCAGTCAATCCTGTGGTAGACTCCGATCCCCAGCGCGACCGTGTCGTTTGACGTGTCATCGGACGGAGGAGACCATTCTCTTCATCGTTGTCTTTGTCTTTCATCCCGGACCACGTCGGCAGCAGGGCCCTGGCAGTGGTAGATGTCGTAGACTGATTCTTTTTCCGTGGGAAACGTCCGTCGCCAGATTTGTTATGCTTATGCTTGTGAAGGTGGCGTGATTTGGACAGAACTCGGTCTAAGCTGGGAACGTCGATGACCAGATGACGGTGCTGCTGTTTCTCTTCGGACAGACTGACGATGTTGGCAAATTGCAGATTGTCTTCATGACCATGGCTGTCGGTGATGATTTGGGCTTGATCATCGCTTGTGCTGGCCAGCTGCTTGTCCAGTGAAGTACTAGGCGGTTTCTGGGTGACGACCACGCCAAAACCATGGGTGGTCGGTGGATGAGGGACGGAACGCTCGGGAGTCGTAGAAGATACCATGTCAGGCAAGGACAAGCTCATGGAGGCCTCCATTCGGACTCAGCAAGTCCCTGTGGTCCGTAGAGCTGATAGTTTGATGCAACAAGGGAGAAGAATAGACTGTTTCAATGCCCATCGGCTCTGCTGCTGGTCAAAGTCATTTGATTGAGATGGCGGACTCGACATCAGGCGCCAAGCGTTGACCGATCGATACCCTCCCCTGGATTTTTAAAGACTACGTACTCCGTACTGGTACAGTACATACAGCACGATCGGCATGTCTTGAAACGACCGACTCCGTCTCCGAGCCTATGTGACTTTACAACTACCTTGGTATAGCATGAAGTCTTGGAGGATTTCTATGTAAAGATGTTTCTTGCTTCCGTATGAATATAATTATAAATCCAGTATCCAGAACCCCCAACTCCATGGTCGCCATGATCCATTTTTGTCCCGACAGAAAATCGAAGGATGTGAAAAGAGGCCGCCTGTCGCCACATTATCTTTCCGAGGGCTCAGCGCAAATCAAGGGAAGGCGTTTTCTGCGTGAGGGAATAGGAAGAAAAGGCAATTTTCGAACAGCTGGTCGGTAACCGCCATGCATCGAGTGCAGCAAACAAACAGCAGGAAGCAGTTCAACCGCGACAGCATACACTGACCTGTCCAGGGGTCGATCAAGCTCTATGCAGCATCAAGAATTCAACAGTTTGTTGCGCTTTTCACGGCGCTTCAAGCGCTCAACACGTTTACGATGCATCTTCTCGGCCATCTTTTCATAGCGTTCTTTCTCTTCCTTGGCGGCTCTGCGATCCTTAATTCGCTGGATATGGGCCTGGTTGTGTTGTCAGTCCACCTACGCTGCCTAGGGGTGGAATGAATTGCAAGTATGCCCTACCTTCCGCTCAGCCTCCTTCTCTTCCTTAAGTTCCCTTTCGTGTTCTTTGACGGCTTCTTGGTGTTTGCGGGTTTCCAGGCGCTTCGCATAGGAGGTCATACCCGCCGTAGGGCGGAAGGGCTTCTTGGAGTCGTGCCAATTTTTTCCTGCGGGTCCGAGGAGTAAAACTCATTAGCTCCAGTCAGTTTTCACGGAGTGGGAGGGGAAGAAACAAAATGTGAGAGGGGGAAAAAAAGAGGAAAAACAGGTAAAAAGTGGGGAAACCAAATTAATACCATTCTTCCGCATGCCCTTCACGGACGGAGGGACTGAAGCCGAGGAGGACGACATGGTCAGACCAGGTGAGGATGGTGGGAATGGGAATTGAAGCTGCCACCAAAGCGAGGTGAATGCTGAGGATGGGGAAGAAGAGTGATATGTATTATTAGCGGTTCTCCGCTGCCTTCCCTCTTATTCTTCCGGTTGTCTGATTTTGAGGAAAAAGTTATCTTAGACCGATCAGATAACCGGATCTCGGTGGAAGTGAGCATCCGAACCCGCGTCTGGCACTTGTGGCTCCGAGAATGAGGGATTTGTCCCACCTCGTTTCCTAAGAATCACTTGGCCGGCAAGCTAGTTGAAACATCGCAACCAACCGTCTTCCTCTTTGGCCCCCCCACTATATGTGACCTCTCGGCCTTTGGGCTCATCTGCTTCCAGCTTTTCAAGCGATGCTCGCTCTTTCCTGAATTTATCGCGCATGGTTCGGGCATCTCACTGGCACCACCCCTCCCTGACACACCGCCCCTCTTTCGATCAGGTCCTCCTCTTTAAATACTCGCCTGGCCCTCTAGACCGAACCATTTCCGATACCTACCATGTTCCCTTAATAGCCTAACTTCCTGTTCTGTCCTTCTTGCCTACCCTGCCTCATCTCCTGTCCAATTCTTGACCATCTTTTCCCTTATGGCGGCTGCAGAGAATGCGATAGCACTAAAGAATGAGATGTCGATGGAACTCCCTTCACTCCCGCCCAACCAGGGCTTCGAAGCTTTCAAGGATATTCTGTTCGGATCTGTGAGTCGCCTCGCTGTATCGCTCAGTGCTGAACTGGAAACCACTGACGCTCCGTCAGACTGCGGGAATGGTAGGGAAGGTAATCGAATACCCTTTTGATACCGTCAAAGTACGACTCCAGTCCCAGCCGGATCATCTTCCTCTAAAATACACCGGCCCCCTGGATTGCTTCCGCCAGTCGTTCCAAGCCGATGGTGTGCGTGGGCTCTACCGCGGGATCAGCGCCCCTATGGTCGGGGCGGCTGTAGAAAACAGCTGCTTGTTCTTCAGCTACCGCCTCGTCCAGGATATACTTCGCGCCACGTTTTACGCCCCGGCAGATGCGCTACCCTTCCCAGCGTTGGTTCTCTGCGGTGCTGCGTCTGGTTCAATAACCTCGCTTGCACTTACCCCGGTGGAGCTGATCAAATGTAAGATGCAAGTACCTCTGGCAGGCCCCGGCGCCAAAGCGCCGGGGCCTCTAGCTCTCATTGTATCTGTGTTCCGCCGCGATGGTATCATGGGCTTCTGGCGTGGACAATTAGGCACATTCATTCGCGAAACCGGTGGTGGCGCCGCTTGGTTCGGTAGCTACGAAGGAGTTATGGCGCTCTTCCGCTCATCCCGCGCAGCCTCTCAGCGGGCCGATGATGCGGCACTTGAGTCCGATCGCGTCCCCATACCTCAGCAGATGCTTGCCGGTGCAGCAGCTGGTGTCAGTTACAATTTCCTGTTCTATCCTGCTGATACGATCAAGTCACGCATGCAAACCGAGGATATCACACGCTTGGCGCACAACGGTGAAAGACAAACATTCTGGGGGGTTGCCCGAGCCTTGTGGACACAACAGGGAGTGAAGGGATTATATCGAGGCTGCGGTATCACTTGCGCCCGGTCTGCTCCCAGCTCGGCCTTTATTTTTACGATATATGAAGGTTTACGAAGCCATTTTGGTTGAGCGTGTCGTCACTCTATAATCTCCTTGTCCTACCATTTTTCTTCCAAGTTATTCTTGCGATTTCTTGAGCTTTTCTGGCATTGTTGTATGATACCTCTATTCATGTTCTAGATCTGGACCTCTTCTTTTTTTTATGTTATCTTCGATTCCTTTCTTCACTTCTTGCTTTCTTCACTCTAATTTTTCCCTTGTCTCGTTCTCTTAGAATCCCCCCCTCCTTTTTTTTCGTCAAAGAAAACTCAATCTAGCATTGATAGAGGAAGGTGAGGAAGAAAATGAAGAAGAAGAAGAAGAAAGTTTGTTAGAACTATTATTCCTGGGATTAAGACTTGCTCTCTCTGGGCTGCGAAAAGTAGAATTTCATGATGATGGGTGTGTCTTTACCAGACCCTGATTATACATTACATATAGTAGAATGGTTGGTGAGCTGGGAAAGGTTGCTGTTATGGTTTTCAATGGGCTGTTGATTGATCCGCGATGGCGCAAATTTTTGGAGAGGGGCTGCAAGAATAGAAAAAGAGCATGACGTGTGACCCTCGGTCCTCTCCCGCATTCAGCGTTAAGTTGGTTATCTCTGCTCGCCTCATCTCTACTCCGTCCGTCTTATTTACCACCAGAACCTGAACGATTACTCTCTTGCTGAATCATTGCCCGACATACATCCGACAATCTATTCGAACATGGATTTAAATATGGCATCGTCTGCTGACCATCTTTCGGCCCAAGAGCTGGAGACTCTCTCCACCAAAGCTATTTCTGCCAAGGACGTTGCGTACTGTAAGTCCCAGATATGTGTTGTTTCCTAAACCCCTCAACCTTCTTTCAGCACGCAACATTGAATGCTCGTTCTAAGATTTCTGATATTCATGCACCTTGTACCTTGGGATATGTATGACCTTTCAAGCCGTTCGTTTGATTACTAAAAAGCTCCGATAGGCCCTTATTCAAAGTTCCGGGTTGGAGCCTGTGTTTTGACGCAAACAGGCGAGTATTTTCACGGTGCCAACGTAGAAAACGCTGCCTATCCTGTTGGGACCTGTGCAGAAAGGGTTGCATTGGGGACCGCGGTTGTGAGTGAACTTCTTCTATGCTTCATTTTCCTTGCTGCAAGTTGCTGCAGGCCGCTGCCAGCTTAGGACTCGTTCTACAAATCACTATTTTCTCTGCTATTTACTCAGGCTGGCCAGCTCATTTTTGTCCTCGTTTTGCCGTGTGGCTTTTAGGCGGCACGACGATCTGAGAATTCCTGTCCAATTTGAAGGCATGGCTGACGTATTGGACTGATCTGCAGGTAGCTGGGCATCGAGACTTCAAAGCCATTGCTGTCGCAACAGACATTGAGCCAGCAGCATCACCTTGCGGCATGTGCAGACAGTTGTAAGTTAACTCTGTGCTCGAAGTTCTTTCTTTTCATTTTTTACACACATGGACGACATGACTTTCTTGCTTGGTACCTGTACTTACCGCACTGTTTCACTAAAGCGATGGCTAACAAGCGGACAACAGCATACGTGAATTTTGCTCTTCATCAATCCCCATCTTTATGTATGATGGGCAAGGAAACTTTACTATGAAAACTATTGGAGAGGTAATTACACGTAGTGTTATATTGTTGTCCATCTAATCAGTCACCATGCTTTTTTTTTTCCAATGTATCCTTGAAAGAGTGTACTGACATATTTCTAATTTGCAGCTTCTGCCGGACTCATTCGGCCCAGACGACTTGCCTGGAGCCACGAAACAATCTTAGGCATCTGCGTTTAGGGCCTCATTTCCGGCTCCGACGCGATAGTATGGAACACGTCTCCCATATATGCAGACCTGACAGTCTCACTGGGTTCATAAGACGCACTTCTCCTCTCTGGATTGGCTTCAATTCCATGGTAATATTATAACTAAAATTCGCAAAGTGGCCATATATGATTGCTGAGCAGAGCGGCCCTCTCAATTAAGGGCTTTATTTGTAAGTCGAGGAGCGCGCCTTGTTAGACGTCGGGCTAGTGGCTAGTGTACTGGGATCCAGGACCACGATAGCATTCTTGCCTCATAGTCTTAAAAATCTCATCTCCTTGGAAACATTTTCTGATGCATCACCTCGATTGGCATACATCAACCTGGTCAATATCTTACACTTCTAGCATGACATGATCCAGAAAGCACCCACAAACGATAGCAACGTCAGGTTAATAGTACACAAAGTATGTTAGAGGCTATGACCTTCATAAACAACACTTACGATTAATGGATTAATGACACCATACAAATACCAGATCAAAAAAGATTCAGGCTATTGCCCAAATGGGTTTCTATCGTTCAGAGACTAATAAGAAGATGAGCAAAGATAGTCAAGTCAACCTAGCATGAGTGACAAGTACGGAAGGAAGGCGACCAGGGACCCTTCCTACATATTCGTACCATAACATGAAACCATAAAAACCATCAAGCTTGTCGAAGAGAGCGCAGATGAGCACTGCCACTAGAGCTCATCTTCCTCGTCAATGTCGGCTTCTTCCACCCCAAGAAGCTCATCCTCATCATCGACAACGTTAGTGTAATCGCCTCGCCGGGCTGCAAAAGCACCCCGAGACGAGTAGGGTCGTGTATAACCTCCACTGCGCCTGAGACGCAAGAAACCGCTTGCACTTCGCCATAAGCTGGTGGCCAAAAGCGGCAAGGCTTTAGCAACAGCCACCGCGCCCGCGATCACGGTGACGGGAATGGTTATGAGCAGTGAGTCTCGCAACAGCAAACCAGAAGAGGTGCTAACATTCTCTCCAAGGCGAATTTGACCGAATTTGCCGTCCCATCTGGTGTAGACATAGTATCCAACAGCACCGGCCACAGCGATGGGTATCACAATGGCAAAGAACAGTCCAACTCCGCCGATACCGTGTCTACGGTTATATTCCTCCGTTTTATTTGGGCAGGGTTTTGAGACCAGATGGTCTAATTCCAATCCCCCTTGGCAAGTCGTTTGGGGCAGGCGCCGGTATCCTGTAGGCTCCCAGTATTCAACACGATCGGGATCCACCTTACAAACAGCCATCGCATCCGGTGGAGACAATCCCTTGACGAGCCCGCAGCTACCATCACTCAAAGGTTCGTAGTTATAATCACTGTTCGGTGTTAGCGATCGATTGTTTGCTTCCGCGCTCCCATTGAACCAAGCGGGGTAATTGGTAAGTCTTACCATTCAAAGTCGGATTTAGTACAGCTGCAGTTCCTCCCTATGCTGTGAATGTGGGGCTCACGCCAATCATTCCAACATTGAGCAGCAGGTTTCTTGCGATGATATTGTTCAACATGACCAAACAGGCAATTATTGTCCTCAAAAGGGTGACTTGGCTCCCAAATGTAGTAATCGTCGCTGGCTCCACTATCTTCGTTCAAGTTGCATGAGGCGGCCCGGAGTTTAGTAAAGTCAATGTTGACAGTCGCGAGTTTATCTCGATTCTCCGACTCCGCATCTCTACCCCAAAGAAGAAAGTTTTTGGAAGTATCAGAGGGGACAGTCGAGATGTCTTCGATCTGCATTGGAACATCCGAAAACTGGTATTCTTCCCAAGTGTCACCTTCATCCGTACTGTAGTAGAGCACCTTGGTTGGTATTGACTCGCGCACAATGACGATAACAGAACCGGAGTCACCAAACTCCCAAAGATACCGGCCTTGCTTCACAAACTTCCAAGTGAAGCCAGCATCGCGTGTGATGAATGTATCTGGCTCGCTATCGCTAGCCAAATGATCGCCCACATTACCTATACCGACCATCAGGCCAATTGCTGAGCCGGAGGAATACGTGTCTCTTTCATCCCTGCGCTCTGTATAGCCATGGAGATGGAGCGAGCAATCCGGAATCCCTTTGCCTTCTTCCACGGCACAACCAAATTTTTGGCCATCCGCATCTTTGGGTGGGGGGAGTAACATCCACCGGCCCCCGTCATTGTGAGTGATCATGGTTCTCAGCTTCTTCGATTCGCCGGAAGAAAGCCTGTCCACATTGCTGACAACATTCGCAATAGCAACACCTTCAAGTCCCTGGATTTTCTCGAAATCAACATAGCCGCGATGGTCCCGACTCACTGCGCCTAGGCTGAGCACGTAAGAGGTCCCGTTACTATTACTTTTTATGATGGAGCCGTACTCGGCTCCTTCGGCATTGCTCACAGTCACATGCAAGAAAACAGCATGAGTAGAGCTTTCGAGGACAGTATAGGCAGTCTGGATAGGAACATGAAGGTTTGGAGGAAAGTGTGCTTCTGCAAAGGTCCGGCCATCAACACTGCTGCTCGCAGTCAGAGATTCCGGCTTATCCGGGTTTCGAGATGCTACCACGATGAACTCGGACATTGTAGCATAATTGATAACGTCGTCGAAATGAACACGTCGATCAGCAAACTCATTTTCGCTGGATAAGAGTTGCAATCGGTTGTTTCGATTTTCACTTTCGAACTGCTCACAGAAAATCAAGTTGTTGCTGTTGGGACGCGTCTCTCGACTCTCGAACTCGCATTTCTGAACGTAGCGGAGAAGAAGTTTCCAATTTTCGCCACGATTCTGGCTGATATGGGCATTGGAATGGCAATCGCCAGACTCACAATCTACAGCACCGGTCCATATAAGCCAGTCCTTATACTGTGGGTGAAAGGAGATTGTTGGGACACGGTCATGAGTAGGCGGAATCGGCGCCTCGAAGTGTTTGAATGTCTGGGCGCGATCAACCGTCCAAAATGCCTCCTTCCCATCAGTCAGGAGAAAGGCTGTATCGCTGCTATATGGATGAGGTGCAATTCTGGTGATTTTCTTCCCTTGCAATGACTGCTGCCACGTCTTACCGTGGTCATGCGAGAGATAGAGGTCGTGTGCACTTGTCAACATGATGACAGTTTCGTCAGTCCCTGAGTTGCTGGACTGGCGCTCCAAGTAATAATATGCGCTGAATTGCTTCGCATCGAAGAACTGTTTCGAATGGCCGATCTTACCATTGCTGTCAGGAGAACTTCCCACGTCCCCACATGACCACTCGATCTGATCATCCATATTCTTGCCGCCTTCTCGGATGCAGGAGTTTCCCGGAATGAGCCTCCAACCTGATGGACCCAAATACTTATCGGTGGGGTTTTCGCATTTTCCATCTGGAGGTCTTGGGATTTCAGCAGGCTTACAGCTTTGCCCATCTTCGCTGCGTTGTTCACACTCGTAGTCTTCGGTCGTACATTTGCATGGTTCGAGGATCGGTTGAGGGTCTTTGAATTCCTCGTCCACAAAACAATTTGCGTTGGCCTTCCTGCGCCGATAATATTGTTTGTGGCCCATCAAACAATCAGGTTCACCGTTCTCATTCAATCTGGCCGGCCACTTTTCGAAGTCATCCTGACCACATTTCCGTTCGTGGAGGCCCTTAAAATCAATCGAATACACGATGTAGTCGCCATCACCATTCTCCTGCCCAACGAGAACAAACTTTAGGCTGGTAGAGTCGGGAGTCGTTGTGACCATGGTTGGGGAAATCGTGTGTTCTAGATCCACTGATTCCCACTCCTTGCCATGATCGAGAGAGAACCTGACCTTTTTCGCCTTCCCAGCATCACTAACCGCCACTATCACAGCACCTTGGTCACCGAATTCGTATTTATAAGGCCCGTCAAGAGCATGCCGCCAAGTTACTCCTGCATCATCTGAAACAAATAGGTCGCCATCATTGTATTTCTTGAGGCTGTCGCCTGTGTTGCCGATACCCATGACTACTCCCGGTGCCGGACTCGAGAATACCCGGCCAATGTTCGCAAAAGTAGTCACCGAGTGTAGATGCAAATGTTTGTCGCCCACTTTGAGTGGTTGGAAGGTCCTTCCATCATCAAAGCTTATTTGGCTGATAATCTTCTTTTCGGAGCCGGATTCAACCTTTTCAGGATTCTTGACCGTGTTAACCAATACAATGCCTTGGATTCCAGCAATGTTTTCGAAGTCCACAATTCCGGCTTCATTGCGATTGGTGTGCTCGATATTGCGAGTAAAGAATGTACCATTTGAGTTTGAGGTAAACAGCATGCCCATGCCACTGAAAGGGCTGGTTAGAACATCCACCTGCAGGCTGTAGTTAGTGCTTTCCAGCATGGTGTAGGCATCTTGTTCTATCCTATGACCGCCAAACTCTGCCCGACTCCAAGTAATTGTATCAGTGGTCACGTACAAAGCAAGCTCGTCGGTTCCCTTGGACTTAACCGCAGCAACGACAAACTTCTTGACAGCGGCGGTACTTATGACTCCGGAGATTGGCCGATCTGCGTGTAGTTTCACTTCTATGCCATCAGTACTACTGGTGAAGTAATCGTCGGAGTACACCAAACGGTTGGCATGACCAAAGGGCACCTTCAAGCCTGGGACAACGCATAGCGTTCGGTCGACAAGTTGATCGAAAGATGGGAAATTATCTGCAAAATCTGGATGGCCAACGGCCCACGAGCATCCGGCAGCGCTCTCGCGTAACAGCTTAGTCGTTTCAAAGTCGTTCGTCGTATAGTATGATCTCACGATGCAAAAAAACCCGGCGCATTCCTCGCTTTGGAAGATAACTTTGCTCGAGTCCCAACCATGAAAGACAAGAGGTGCGTGCTGCAACGCTGGAAATTCGTCAATTGTGAAAGCATTCCAGGTTTTGCCTTGATCCTTCGTCTTGAAATGACGCCCATCGTTGCCTAAGGCATAAGCTCTGTTCTTGTCGAAAGGATGTTGTTGAACCCAAACCACCCGCTGTTTCATTCCTTCGCCCTCTCCAATAACCGACTCCCATTGTTCACCTCCATCGAATGACTGGAAGACATCACCGTTCTCCAGACTCATGAGGACGTTATCCGTGTCCTCGAAGTAGAAAAGGGACACCGGAGCATGGTCAAATTTCGTCGTAGTGACTTTGGGTTCTCCGGGTGATTTTGCGATGCTGGGCCGCAGCATGAGAGCCAGCGTCAGGTATCCCACTAGCAGGAGCCATCGAGACGCCATCGCCACGACCTTTATAACATTTGCGATGAGACGGCAAACAAGGGCGGAATATCCCCAGAAATGCTGCGCCAAACAGAGTGGTTTGCACGAAGAACGAGAGCCGGAGATAATTCCGACTACTTAGTCAAATCCTGTCGAATGGGCGTATCAGGTCCAGTAGATAAAAGAAACCGAAGGATAGACAGACGGAAATAGAATCGGCATAGCTGTCACTGCGTGGCCCAAGACGAGCTCCTTGATCACGTGTCGGCCCGTAGCGCTTATCGAAGCACTAATGACCTCATGCAGATAATGGTAGCAGATAAGCTCCACTGCTACTCAATACGTACAGTACAGTACAGTACAGTACTCACCTTCGAAGCGCTTTCAAATGAGTGGAGCTGTCATAGATCTTACCTAGGAAATCTTGATACTAACGTTCGATACAATAAGTCAGACTGGCGGAAGGTAAGGTATTATACGTCAGGTTATAAGATCATGTGCTTGAAAGGGTAATCTAGCACCCAGATTAACTGTACGAATAGGATAGATCACAGTATGGTAGTAGCAACGCCCGCACCCACAGTAGTACCGATCCCATTCCAACCTCACCTGACGGTGCCATGGACACAACCCATGCGCATACACGCTGTATGGGCATCAGAATGAGATAGAATCTTGGCTGTCCCAAAATGAGAACAATTCTTCTAATATAAAAGCACTTACGCCCCATATATTATTTTAGGTCTCGATGCTATTCATATCAGAGATTATTGAGCACGACTTGCAAAGCAGCGGTGTTAGAATCCTCCCTGCGAGAGACATAAGCCCTGACTTCCTGGACACTGAGGCCTGTATCTTCTTGAGTGGTACCTCCAATGCTGCGTCCTGGGCTTGTAGTGGCATGGCCATTACCAGAATTTCCGCCAGCAGCGCTGACCGCGCCGCCACATATCCGCTCCTGCAATGCTTCAGAGCCAACGACGAAAAGGTTTCCGACTTCCAGTAAGACATCTAGCGCACCCCCCGGGCCCTTTACCCGCTCCTCAATATCCCAGCTTTTTAACAGATCCGTATACTGTGTCATATCCTTGGTTACAATGAGACCTCCAGGCCCATTCACAACAAACCGCTTGAAATGTTCAAGGAGAAGAATTCTTGTTCCAACAGCAATCTCTGTAAGCATCTGGCGGAGATTAGAGCCACTAGGTGGTAGCGAGCCCTTGAGAACGTTATGCGCACGAGCCAAGAAGGTACAAGTTGACGCACATGTCTGGGATCGATTAGTACACGTCCCGAGAGCACTTGAGGTAAAAAGCTTGCGGGAAAGGCATAACGCAGTGACTAACCGGTGTTTGTAGCCTCTCTAACCAAGTTGCATTGTCACCCTCCTTAGGTCGAAAGTCATTTTTCTTCTGACCAGAAAGAAGTTTGTTCACCCAGGCTAACGTCGCATCAATGACCTTCTGCTCTATGGAATTTATCTTCTCTTCAATTCGTATAGTGATCAGGTTCGTTTTTCTCTCCATTTCTCGACGAATTGTGATACTGCCTGCGGCAAGAGGGATAAGCAATGTGTTAATGCACATGACCATCAAGTTGGCGACACTGATAGCGTTCCGAATAGCCGGTATATACCCGAAATCAGGCTCAGTTCTACCTGATTCCTGGGATGCGGCTACATCCAGAGCGGCGTCTAAACAAACTTCAATGTAGCCTTCTCCCATCATGGAGAGAAGAAGGCTCAGAAGAGCAAGCATATCCTTGGGCGTCTCGCTAGTCATGCTGAGCTCTAAGCCTCTACCAACTGCTTCGGCAAGCCATTTGAGCATTCTCTTTGCATGAGCAATATTTGGGAGACCGTCATCTTCTGTAAGCTTGATGTCTGTAGGTTTACTGGGATCAGTGGCTTCCCTCAGACCTGCCAATCGGAGTAAGAGCATCTTCTGTATTGCGGGAAACTCGGAGGACTCAAGGCGTGCAATATATGCATCTCTTGCGGAGACAAGAACCTCCGTGCCTGATTTTGAGAGAGATGCCATAAACGTTGTCACTGCTTTCTTCCTGCGAGCGTGGAAAGTGGTGAACCTGAATTGTAAGGAGGCATATAATTCTTCCAAATTCCTTCTCTCTCTTTCTATGTAAGACGAACCCACAAAATAGGGCACAAACAGATCCTCCAGTTGCTGATCGAGAATGAGGGCTGTATGTGACGAGATAGGGTCGGGATGTTCGGTCAATCCATGAGCTTTCAAGTCATCAACTAAGGCGCTCAGATAACTGCGAGAACTTTGTAGAGCACGTAGAAACGCTAGTGATGAGACACCGTTCGCCTTATCCAAGACCATCTCGAGTCTTTGTTGAATCGACTGCTGGAAAACTCGCTGCAGAAACTTTCCGAGTACTTGTTCGTAGTACGGGAAGGCCCTTTTGATGATCGCGGACTCTTCTTGCACCACAACTTTTACCTCATCAATGAGTGACTGTAGACTGGGCTCCACTTTTGACGGTTCAGCGTCGGGATCTGCAAGCATTTCCCAGGCTTCTGGATCCCCTCCGACTTCTTCGGTCACCAGCTGGCTGCGGTCAATAAAGAATTGATGTTGGTTCACGAACAAAGCAATCACACTTGCACCACCGTTGAAATCTCGAAGTACTGTAGCGCAATCCTTCATGCCTTCAAAATTAGCTTTTCTGTAGAAATCATCGAATTGCTTCAGCAAGTCATTCTCTAGCGTCTCGGAGAACTTCTCGATAATTTCTCGCGTGTTTGGCCGAATACTATTGCCCTTTGTGCTCCCAGACTCATCTGCCATAGTTCCATTTGCGTAGGACCCGTTATGTCTTCCCGCTACTTCACTCCAACTTTCAGTGTCAAGTCGCTGGCTGATTCTGAGCAACTGACGCGCAATCTGTGCCGATCGAACCTTGGCCTCACCTGTTCCTGACCTCCTCAAATTCTCCAAAAGGGTTAACTCCCCTCTGTTGCTCACACCATCCCAGCATTCGAGGAGAAAATATGCGTCAAGCGCCCGACGCCTTTGACGATCTAATTCCTCAAGCTTACGTCCTGTCTCGACAGCCATGTTGCCTGTGCTCTCGGAAAGCTCTCCTCCGGATAACCCTGCACCATTGAGCGACGTATCGAGTTGCTGGAAAGATTCGATGGTTTGACTTAGTTTTCGTCCTAGGGTGTTCAGATTCTGAGTGTGCTGTGCCTCTGCCCTGCGGACTGCAGCAGATAGTTCATTTTCTCTTATCTCGAGGTCGCCTGATATATCACCTAGTCGCCGCTGCGCATGCTCAAACGTCCGAATCAGCGGTTTGGGGTCAAACGGCTGGTTTCCATTTCCTGAAGCTCCTGTATGTCGCCGAGTGTTTACTGCGTTTTCGGAAAGGGATTCAATAAACTCCTTCACGATGAAATCACGGCTAGAGAAGTCTTCGAGTGTGAAGCCGGGACCTTGAGGGAATACCGGACGGGACACAGCATTGGGAAGGGGATTTGTTGACACATCGTCCGCCATGTTCTGGTCTGTCGGCCGGATCCTCCCGCATTGACATTAGCTTGATGCTGGTAGAGGAGTTGCAATCATTAACCTGAAAGCAGTCCAGGGACAAACTGTATCTGCAGCTCGAGTGCAGCCACGGAGCGGGATACGTGCGGAGTACGGAGTAGACGAGGTAGCTTGATTGACCCGCAGCTGATTACATAAACCATCATCGTGGGCATAAGTTACCTACCATATATGTATTTGATCTCAATGGCCACCTCGAGCTTAATTATTATCGTGTCGCAAGGCAAACAAACAGCGTATGTATTCCGCCTTTTCCTGCAGTCGTGTTGAGGCTTCGTTTCCCGGATCTGCAACAACCTCCAGATTATCCCATACTGTATGGCCATTCAGAAGACGCTCACGGGTCTGTGGCTGGTTCACCATTAAGTTAACTAGCAGCCTGCAGGGCGCTTTACCCATTTTTGACCTCTCACCACCCGGCGCAATCATTTCGCACATGTTCATATACATCTGAAAAACCATGGTCTCGCAACATGACAGAGAGCTTTTTCGCAACGATGTACGCTCTCGAGGGACCAAGCTCAGTGCTGCTGACCGGGAAAACATCTTGAGGCCATATCTACCAGACCCCTCTGAACTCCAACGACGATCGCCGCAGCGGCAGAACAAAGCTCAGCGAAGGGCTCCTGTACGAACTTTCGTCAAGGCGCAAATCCACCGTATTGTATACACCTTTGTTCATATCTTCTTTGGAATCATAATTCGGCTTCTTCAAAGCTACCACGCCACCATGGACCGGATATGTGCAGTCATATATTATCACCATCGAACTCCTGAATTGATCAGAAAAGATGTGAAAGGCCTCAAGCGCCTACCCGAACACTTGAGTGTCATCTTATCGCTTCGCAAGGAGGATGACGCCCTTACTATTTTGATGGACGAAGTTGCAGAGCTTGCAGCTTGGAGCGTGAGTGCTGGAATTCCAGTGTTGAGTGTTTACGAAAAAAGCGGTAAGTAGACACGGCCCTTGACGTCAATCTAAAGAGCCTATGCCAGTGCTGAGTGCTAATGAAATGGGCGGCATCTGCAGGGGCTCTGAAATCTTGCATTCCTATACTTCACCAGGCTATCACCAACAAGATGTGTTCGTACTATGGCTCTCCTATTCAACAACCCCGGTTACGTCTATTTGCACCCCATCATCCTGTCTTTGACCAGCTGCCGCAAGATATCGCTAGTAATCGCAACAATGGATCCTTGACGGTGCTACTACTCTCCGCCACTGATGGCAGGGAGACGTTTGTCGACCTGACTAAAACTCTGGCGGAAATGTCCCAGAGCGGAAAGTTGTCACCCGAAGATATTACCTTAGAATTGGTCGACGCAGAAATTGGCGAGATTACTACTCAGCCGACTCGACCAAGTTCGCCAACCTCGAATGAAAGCAACAAGGCTTCCGACCAGTTCAGGTTTGTCACAAAGCCTGAGCCCGACCTTCTACTAGTGTTCGGCGCCTTTCTAAAATTAGACGGATATCCTCCCTGGCACATTCGACTGACCGAAATGTTTTGCACTGGCGGTAGAAGTAGCGGGACAAATACCTCTGAAGAAGCAGTTGAATATCACGGCTTTCTACGGGGACTCTGGCATTATGCTGGGGCTCAGATGAGGTTCGGCCGTTGAAAGCGTTGAGAGTGATTATTACGAGGTCGTCTATGTATACACCAGCGCAGCATCTAGATCTCCTTATCAGGTTTTTAAGTCACTATCAGTGTCTCATGACCAGGTTCTTTTGCTGGCGGATCAATGCCCAAATAAACAAGACCTGACCAAGTTGGAATACTACAGATCAGCCACATTCAAACTAGGATTAAAGTCTAGGTTTCTTTGTAGGATTTCTCGAGCAAGGTGGACGGCTCCAAAATGACCATTATCACTGAGATTTCCCCGTGATCCCTGGCCGGAAGATATATTCAATTGATGAAAGTAGGTATGATCATTGTTTGCGCCTCGCTCACATAAAGTTTTGACGCTTGCTTCCTGATCCTGGGCTTTCTCCCTCTCTCTCTCTCTCTTATTCTATCCCAGAGTGTGAGAATTCTTTATATATGTCTTGCTCGTAATCATCGCGCCCTCTTCCTGCTTGAAGCCATATGGCAAGACTATTCACGATGTAGAATTGCCGTTGTTAGTGGTCTGCAGGTAATGCCTGCTCATGTGTTCAAAGACGCTGGAACCATCCTTGATACCCGGAATAATTTGGAAAGACTGTGAGCGAAGCAGGATCTTGATGAGATCGCTTACTGCCTGCTTATTGGTAGGCAACGCTTGGATGTCTATAGACTTTCAGTCTCGGTGAGTATAAGAAATGTTTTTCTCCGACAAATCTTGTCTTCATCAGAAGCTGGAGGCTTTTGGGCGCTACAGTCCTCCCTGACAGTCATAAAAGGCTCTCATTCAGCATCAGAGGCTCTTGAGCGCCTTCGGTCAAATGGATTCTTTTGTGGTTTGTATTCCCACTCTTGATTCTTGCATGGTTGCACAGGCAGTCTTCTCCTAAACGGGTGGAATAGGTTGCCATCGAGGCGCCGTATCTAGCACACATTCAAGACACCTTGCTACTACAGCACCTGTTTCATTCAGACCTTCAACTGCACACGATGAACAGATTCTTCGTGATCGAGTCTGCCTTTCCATGCCACGAGCATCCTCGTTTATAAAGCCTGACGGCGCTAAGAGCGTATTGATCGAGCCACTGCAGTCAACAGCATCACATGAACGGAGACAAATGTAACAGCTTCTTTGCGCACAGATTTCACAATTGGAATAGGCACCTAGAGTCTCCTTTGTTGTGGGCCGCCTATGACAAACATGACAGGGGAGTAAGCAGAAGGTTGACGGTTGGTGAGATTTCGGAGAGAGGATTCGGTGGGATACTTGAGAAGAAAAGATATTCGAGGTTGCAAGTCTTAGTGATTGCGTCGGTGACAGCTGTTTCTGAAGCCGCTGTCTCTTCGTGGAACCCCGGTGACGTAAACCTTGTTCATGACTATCTTCTGAGATGTCCAGCAATTTGGCAGGGATTTGAGGGCTTATTTGTTGAAAAGGTGACAAGACTACTCTCTTGCTGCATACCAGAAGTCCGCAGTCAGCTTTCTTCTCAACACGGTACCAAAAGCGATGGCAGAATCCCAGACCCGTAAACAAACCTTGGAACCATACCTAGCAAGGACATCGTCACGGTTCTTTTTCTTTATGTTAGGTGTTAAAAGAGAAAAGTGGCCGGGCTCAGCTTGGACGTGTGGCATGTTGGATTTACTCGAATAGCATCAAGACAGAATTATGGCGAGAAATGTATGTGTTAGGTAATACCACTACCTATGCGAAGCAAGTCGCTGGTTAGCACTGAAAAACACAAAGTAGCCAAATGTATTGGAGGTCTAGAACCGGGTAATGAGATTAAGAAAGTATGCAGTATTTGGTACTGTAGCTTTTCATAGTTCGAATATGTAAATTAGATGGCTGCTCTGTCCAGGGAAGAGTCACAAGGGGTACGTACCAATTTTCCTCGACCGGTATAGAAGACCCACTTCACTTACTGTACGACGGTACGTACTACGTATGAGTACATATTATTCTAGACCCACAGTCCATTAACATTTCTACGGAGTAACTAGGCAAGGCCAACTCTGACTAAGTACGGAGTACTCTGTAGAGCGTAATAGGATTCGGAAACCTGCCCCCGGTCATGCGCTGTACACTTCCATACAGCACTGTACATGTGCAATAATACAGAGTTTGCAGAGTATACTACTGCACTGGACTATACCTACATGAAATTCAGACATTGGCTTGGCAGAGATGGTAAATCGCCTGATGCTGATGCTGGACTTGGCACAAATAGATTGACAAGCTCTACGCAATTCTAGATGTCTGAGATGAGGGATTAACTTGCATCCGTACCGTACAAATGGAGAGAGATTCAATACACAAGGGTGGCTTGCCCCAGCTGTAACTTAATTCAAGGTGCGAAGCAAGTACATTAGATACGGTTGCTTGGCAGCCCACCTCCTGATCATCTCTCTTTCTACTTTCCAACCCCGACAGGATGTAATACCTGAAACTCACCTCCTCGACCGAACGTCTTGAATAAACATACTGCTTGGCTTGAGCATCAATCAGATTTTGATTAAATCCAGAGATCAAAGCACCACACAAAACAGTCTCAATGGAGAATAGCATATCGGAACTTGTGGAGAGGTTAGGGAGCGATGAAGATGGAGTACGCAAAATGGCAGTTTTCAAGCTGCAGAGCAGCATCGGCGACCCTTCTTTCGCCGATATATTCATTGTGGAGGGCGGACTGGTCAGGCTACGCTATCTGATCTTACATGCAACTGGTAACACATTGGCATATAGCCTGACAAGCTTCGCAAGACTACTAGATGTTGATAAGGGCTGGGACTTCGTAGACCAGGAAGTGGTCGAAAGAGTAGGTGGCCCAATCAAGACCTCGCCAATGTATCGTCGAATTTTGGTTGTACATGGACTGACTGGTGGTCGTCGTATCTCAGGTTGTTGAGCTCATTGTGACACATCCCCTTGTCAATATCTTAAGGGGCGCTATGTCTATACTAGTGTCCATAGTGTCACACCCGCACGCAGGCGATGATAGTACGCAGACTGGAGGCTTCGGATCTGGCGCGCTAAAACCTGCAATTGCCATCTATCCACAGTTCCTGGAGATGCTTGTCAGCAGACTATCCTCCGCAGACCATGCGCTTTGCGCCAATGCATTGCAACTGATCAATTCACTTATGCGTGACTCCGTCGCAAACGATACAGATTTAGAATGGCCAAAATTCATTCAAAGGCTACAAGATCTGGGAGTCATACGGGCAGTATACTCCCTGATGCAAGGAAGTGCCATGCAGGACCACATACATCCACTGATCGAGTTCCAATATCTTACCAAGGTTCTTTTGCGGAAATGGCGCGACATTGCACTGAATCTGGAGCAGCCAGAACATAGAAGAGCGTTGAAGGGGATTTACGTGGCTAGTTCTTTGGAACGGAGTCGTGATAAGGGCACTGAAACCGGGGAAGATGTCCGTCGATCTAAACGCCATGACCCAGAAAAGTGGCGGCGACTTGGCTTTGAAACCGAAAGTCCGGTGATGCAATTTGAATGTACAGGCTTCCTGGGACTCATGGACTTGGCAGATTATGTCAGAAACAATCAAGATGAATTCCAGAAAATCATCCTGGAGCAATCGACAAGGCCAGCAGATCAACGTTGTCCAATTGCTCGTGCTTCGTTGTCCGTCACCTGTATTCTCTACGATCACTTTGAGGTCGACAAATCAGAGATAGAGGATGTCAAAACATCCTTGCTGATAGATTCTCGCTTGAATGTTGAAAGTCTATTTCAGCCTCTATTGTTACACTGGACGCGATTACACGTCGCTGGATTGCATGCGTTCTTCCGTCTATGGAAAACCACAGGTGCCGAAATTGAAGATTATGACAAAATTGTGGAGCTCGTTCGTGTGCTTCTTGAATCGATCGTCGGTAGGGCGCCTCGCACTAAGGATGTGCAAGATGTGGAGGAAGACATAGTCAATTTTGACTACGGGCGCCTGCGTGAGTTACAGATGGAACTATTGGAGCTTACATACGAAGATGCTTGGGGGCAACATCTACGAAATATGCGCGAAGAGCTATACCACGAGGCCCTTCAATTTGTGAAAGAGCAGCGCATAAGATCTCTGCTTCGAGGCGGTTGGTTTCCAAACGAAGACGATTTGGACTTGGAACTGGCATCGAAAAAGTCCTCTTGGCGTTATATTCAGCTATCGCATAATCGGCGATTTCTGCACTTTGGTGACTTCGAGCATCGGCAGGAAGAAAGTCCTCAAGTAGACGTTCTACCCGATAAAAGTGAGTATGCCCTTCCTAGCACTTACCCCTCGCTTTGAGCTTGATTGAACACTCACCGTATGCCTCAGTCGACCTTTCCATTGTATCTTCCGTGGTATCCAACGTCTCGAAGTTGTCTGATGATTACTTTCCATCAGCGGTGAAGACTCGGTCCCACAGCAATCCTTCTATGAGGATAATAATTCATGGCCCTCCTGATCATGAAGCAAGAACGAAGGGCAGCGCACAGGACGCCAGCCATCATTCTCGACAACTCAGCAAGTCTACGCCGGGGGAGTGTATACTGCTAAACTTGCATCCACAGTCTCCCAGCGTAGCATCGGAGTGGCTCGATGGTTTACTAATGCTACTTAACCAGCAGCCTATCACGACAGAGACAAGCAAATTAATAGAATTAATTAGCGACTACGGACTCAAAATCCGTCTATTGAACGTTCGCTTCGATGATCTAGCACTCGTCAGTGAGACACCGGGCGTCCCTTCGCGTGAAGGCCTCGACAATGATTATTATTACGATGTTTTCGGGGGTCCTTGATGGTTTTGTTCACTATATGCATTGACTATACATATATCCAGAAGACAATTACATGGTCTTCTCTCAAGTAATTCATAATGCCAAGCATAATACCTTCGTAGGTCTCGCCTCTTTCATAGACTTTATTCACCGAATAGCTTCCACAAGTGGGTACATCCTACAGCCCAAGCATTGTACTGGATGGCTAAATTTTAGTTACCTAGGACTAATATGTACTGTACATGAAACCTCAGGCTACATAGAAACATCTAGCGATCGTTCGGCTCGGCAGAACTATCCGGCCACGGTTCGGGACACAGTTGGACCACCAATCTCCCGAAGCTCTATCGACATCCCGGAACTCAGGGTCCTATGACTAGGACTGGCCTTGCTGATGAATCTCGCCCACTCCATTCAGTGTATCGTCCTCCTCCGTCCTATTATAATCTGCCCGTTCCTCATGAGCTGTATTCTTTTATCCAGGCCATGATCATGTTAGTTTTCATGGACAACAATCGGACGTACATGTACTTAGCTTAGCTGCAGCATAGGCTGTGATGAAGCTAAGGAGACCACAGCGGTAGATACTCTGCGACAACAACCATTCCGGTCTGTTCGCTTGTATCCTTACTTTGCTTGATTGAGTCTTCTTTCCGGCAAGCTGGAGGCGGCGATTACGATAACGAGGATGAAGCGCAAAGCACCTTCAGATCTCTCTTTAACACGATCCACCCCATTCGATTTTTGCGACCACGCAATGTCGGGCCAGAAATCTGGTCCTGAGACGGATGATAATGCGAAGACGAACATAGCAATGGAAGCACCAGGCCCATTTGACGACGTCATTGAAGATGATTATGACTCTTTTGATGAGATATTTACACAACATTTTGCAGACGATGGTACTTGTCTACGCGAGGACATCACAAACATTGCCAACGATCGGAAAGGTGCTCGTCCATCGCATCAGAAGGGACTGCCCGACAGTCAGAGCTCCTCTGGCACTACCAAACGCTTTGTCATACCGCCCGCCTGTCATTCCCAACCTCGGCTCTTTCGCCCGTTCAATGTCCATAATGCAGAATTGCCGTGGGCTCAGAGATTCCCCCCTAAAGACATAAGTGAACTGGCAGTTCACGGCAGGAAAGTCTCCGAGGTGAAAAATTGGCTGAATAATGCATTCTGTGGGACGGGTGAACGGGTATGTAGCCTGGCCATTTGTTAAATGCCTCCCTTTATCATGTTTTGGACTATGTATGACCTTGAGTCCAAACTATTCATTACTGACAATGGCGGAAGTTACTTATCCTCCGTGGCCCCGCGGGAAGTGGCAAGACAACCACAGTTTCCATTTTGTCAGAGGCTCTGGGGTGCGAGATACTTGAATGGAGAAATCCAGCGGCATCTGACTCTGTCACCGACTTACCGAATTCCGTTGCCCTGCAATTTGGTGATTTTCTGGAGAGGGCTAATGAGCTCTCAGGTCTCAACCTTGACCTGCCGAGCAATTTCCCCGAAGGTCAAAGGGGCGCCATAGAGTGCTTTTCGCCGCGACGGCGTTTGATTCTGATTGAGGAATTCCCTTCATTAATGACGCAATCCCCTAACCTGTCTCTGTTCAGAATGGCTGTCCAGCGGTACCTTGTAACGGCAGGCTCCGCTCGAGAGATAGACATAGTGCCCTGCTCTCCAATCGTCATTATTATCTCAGAGACACTTCTCGACTCGTGCTCTTCTTTTTCAGATAACATCACAGCTCATCGATTGTTAGGCCCGGCGATCTGCAATCATCCGGGAACAAGCATTATTGACTTCAATAGTATAGCTCCCACGTTCATGTTCAAAGCCTTAAATTTGATCATAGAGAAGGAAGGCCGCGTTTCTAAATCCGAGCGAGCACTATCACCCGCTACAATGCGCAGCCTCTCTCAAAACGGGGATATTCGAAGTGCGTCTGCCAGGCTAGAATTCATCTGCCTAAAGTCCAGTAATTTTGCCGAGATGAAGAAATCGTCTAGGGCCAAGAAGGCCTCCCGGAGAGTACCCACTCTTACTCCGATGGAGGAAAAGGCACTTGGGCTGATAACCCAACGAGAGACCACTTTAGGGTTGTTCCATGCTGTTGGGAAGGTTGTGTATAATAAGCGTGACGATCCAAGCTCTAACAAAGATGGTCAGTCTGTTATGCCACCGAGCTACTTGCATCATTATGGACGGCCGAAACCATCACAGGTGCAGGTCAATGAACTATATAATGAGACTGGTACAGATACGCAAACGTTTATCAGTACTTTGCATGAGAATTATGTTCCATCTTGTGATGGTGCCTCATTCACAGAGTGCCTTGACGATTGCATTAGTGCGCTTTCAGATAGCGACTTGTTGTATCCTATTTCCAAAAGGACAAACAGGTTCTTCATACATGCAGCTAGAAATAGTGCTGCAGTTGAGACTTTGCGGCAGCAAGAAATCAGCTACCAAGTTGCCGCTCGTGGGCTACTATTCGCCCTCCCTTATCCAGTGTCACGGAAGAGTTCATTCAATGATGGTATTGGGACTTCAAGACATGGCCAACAACTTCTTTACCCGACTTCTTTGCGGTCACTGCATGTTATGGAGGAGGTTGAGGGCCTCGTAGCTTTGTGGTCAAGCAGGCTCTTGAGCTCGATGAGTTACCCTGCCTCAGGCTCAATATTCGAATCTACTACTCCCCTCAGCGAGAAGGAGCTGAGCACTAACAGCAAGTTCTCTCACGAGGGTGCTCGGAATGAGAGCCAAACAGTGGCAGCAACCATGATACCGCGCAGTGACCTTATACTTCACCAATTGCCGTATATGGCATGTTTGTTCAGAGGAGCCACTGAAGGACAGGAGCTCGAAAAGATTACAAAGCTCACCAGGCTCCGGCCGCAGGCTTCCGACAAAGCACATACCTTCTTTGGTGAGATAGAGGCACCTGGTGCGAATGTCGGACTACTGGGAGAAATATCGAAAACAAGGCTTCGAGGCTGGGATAGCACTTCAGAGTCCTATCTACCGTCTGGGACTGATGAGAGAGGGCTTACCTTGAGTGATGATGAAATCATAGACGACAACTGAGAACTTGTTTCGATGATCTTGTCATGCTTGGTATGCTTGTCTTAATTCAAGCGCTTGGGTCTTTTCCACGTGACTTGGTGTAGAATAAGCCCCGACTACAGACAATCATCCTTCTGTGTATTTCCTTATCATCCTTCTGTATACCCGAAACACCTTTGCTTCGAAGGAATAAATAGTATTAGCTCTAATAGAGTATACTGGTCTAGGACAAAGCTTTACTCAGGGTCACGTATCAATCACGGAATCATTTGTGGATTAAGCAGGCACGGTATACAGGTTTGATTTCTTCTGCTGGATCCTGGAAGACGCTGGTGGTAGAAGCTATTCCACAGTCAGTGCAGGTGCAAGGTATAGATTTACGAGGGCCTGACCTGCCGGTTTCCATCCTTGGCCAAAAGCATTCAGTCAAAGCGCCCTTGGCGAGCCCAGCAGGGCCCATACTTCAACCCTTTGTGATCAAGCACTTTTTTAATATGGCCGTTAAGGGTCTGCTTATATACTTGTCTAAGTATTTAGGGGTTAAATAAGTATGTCCATTCTAACCCACGTACCCGTGTATTAGTTCAGACCTGCGGCCTGAATATGGAGCAAGAAGTTGTTGTTCGTACTCCCCGTAGCTGTTCTACATAGTATAGTTTATTTCCATTGGTAACATATATTCAGCCCGTCTAATATATACATATATAAAAGGTCTTGCAGTATAGAGCCCTAGTTCTAAATACTAACTAGTCAGTAATCGAGGTTTATATAGTACCTAGGAACCGTAACATCTGGGGCGGGGAGGGGAAGGGGCTTCTTGGCACGGGAACTTAGCGCAAGTCCGAGGTCCTCCAGCTAGATGGTAACTACTACTAGGCACATACCTATATGTCCAGACTAGAACTTTTAAGGCTCATTCTACGAGTCACTTCATATATTTACCTAGCAGTCAGTTAATTGGTGCAGCTTCTTGACTTTGATTATATGAGTACATACATCCATACTTAGTAAGCAGGACCAAAGTAGTTAGTTCAACTAGTAAATAGTTAATTTGTCAATTTACTTCGGTTAATGTTTGTTAAATTACCGGATTGACTGACTTACACATATACTAAGTAGGTACGTGCATAGCCTAAACCAATCAGAACAATGCCAGGACTTTGAGAGAGACTGGACAAGAGGCTGCGTGTCGGCTGGGGCTCTGGGCGTGTTTGTTACCAACCGCCTTTCTCCAACGCAATACTCCCTTGGTCTCCGGGACCAACTCCGCCGTCTTTTGTCTACTCAGGAAAAAGGAATGGGCCGTAGACGGTATGCCGTCAACACAAATGAACAGAGACTCCCCACGGGTCCACCCCAGCCTCAGCCAGCAAGCATCGGATGTCGACCTACTCACAACCAATCCACGGGAATTGGAAACTCAAAAATGTCGCGACAACAGGAAGTATAGAGAGTTTGGAGGAGCGGAATCCCAAGATTTGCGCAGCGCTGGGAGTGGCTTGGCCATCTCAGCGCTACGTAGATGGTCAAACTTGACGTTGACGTTTTCCCTGATTCTCGGTGGTTGCTGTGCTAATGTGAGTTGATTCCAAGACAGGAAAGTCCTCTTACTGATGTCTGAACTAAAGGTCTTCGCTCTCGAGGCGATTATCAAGTAAGTTGGTTGGTGTACTCGGCTGCACACAAGAATGATACCTATACTGACCTCCCCACCTCTTAGAGAACAGCCTAGCTCCGGTAAGTAATGATTGCTGTTCCACTGTTGATATGCCCATTCGCTTCTGTACTGATGATCTCCGAGGTCCCCTGATAACGCTCGCCCAATTCCTCCTGACTGCAATCGTCACCGTTCCGGATTTCATTTCTCCGTCTGCCGGGTTTCGTTCCTTGTACCTTAGACCACGTGCCATCCCTCTGAGATCCTGGGTTATCTATACCGCTTTCTTCATCAGCGTCAACCTATTAAACAACTGGGCATTCGCATACAAGATATCCGTTCCCCTACATATCATCCTTAGGTCGGGAGGCCCTGTGGCGTCCATGATCATAGGCTACATTTTCAATGCTAAGCGGTACACACGGGGTCAGATGCTTTCCGTGCTCATGCTTACATTGGGCGTCGTTGCTGCTGCACTGGCAGACGCCAGAGCGAAAGGTCAATCAGTCAACGTCCAAGGTGCATCGACGGTGTCAACAATGACAGGATTTACAGTTCTTGCTGTAGCGATGGTCCTGTCTGCCTTCCAAGGGATCTATGCTGATCGACTTTACGAGAAATATGGCCGGAACCACTGGAAAGAGGCTCTCTTTTATTCTCATGTACTCTCACTGCCTCTCTTCTTACCCACTTATCCACAAGTCGCCACCCAATGGCGAGCGTTATTACTTTCACATACGTCAAATGGACCAGCTCTATCTCAGGATTCTACAGCAACAAAGGGACACTGCGGTTCGCCATGTATAGCCTCGATTGCCAACAAAGTTATCCAGCTTTCAGTACTGAAACTGGATTCTGACCCTTCGCAATTGATCCTTGCAGCAATACCAACACGTTTGATGTACCTTGTGATAAATGCATTGACTCAATACTTTTGCATTCGTGGGGTACATCTTCTATCTGCAAAAACGTCTTCGCTAACCGTGACTATCGTCCTAAATATTCGCAAACTCGCCTCACTCTTGTTGTCTATATATATTTTCGGGAATTCTCTGGCGCCAGGGATCATTGTTGGTGCCCTATTGGTATTTCTCGGTGGTGCCTTATATGGCTATGAAGGGGCACGTGGCAGAAAGTCACATTTAAAGAAAGAATAAACTCAAATCTCATGTGCCGGATATAGTTCATTGCCTGATTATCATCAAGCTCTTTTGTCCTCTTGCAATGTCCAAATCTGCTGTATCGTATCTTCGATGCAATTCTACACAATCTAATGTACCTGCAAACTGAATCTGATAGCACAAAGGAGTCTACGCTGTTAGGGCTAACTTAATGAGCGTCATTGTGGAAAACAATCTTATTATATGATACAACAGTGCCACGGTGTTTTTTTCTCCTAGAGAACGGCTGTCCTTGGCGAATTCAGGTGGTGAAGACTGTGGAAAACAATGTCATCAATGCTTTCTAATGGTCTGCGGCTGACCTTCCCTGATCAACTTTCTACAAGACCTCACCCACAATTTTCGCTGCCTCCTTGTATGTATCAAGAAGCTTTTCGCACTTTTCTCTCTCCGCCTTGATTCCATCATCCTCGTATAGAAGTTCCCCGAACAGATCCTCCTTATAGAGCTCGCTAACAAGCCTATTCTGCACAACATCTTTGCTGTGATTGACCAGCAGATGCATAATGGCCTTGGGTACCTGGTCCGCGATCGTTTCCCTGACGATGTTAAAGTATGAAGAGATCAATCGGCGGATCAATTCTGTTTCCAAGATCTCACGTTCAGACAAAGAGGAGTCGGAATCGTCCTTTGGCTAAGTTTTCTGGTTAGCTGTTGTTCTTTCAAAATGAAGATACCAAGTAGTCAACTCACAGAAATACCGACGTCACCGGATTGTTCCACAGTGGTAATATAATCGTCGGGCGGCATTATCGGAGACCGCAGATCTGCCCGCCGCATCCCATGGCTGACACTGGCCTCATGGGGGCCTGAAATCTGTCTATTTGTGTTTGACGCCTGCGGTGGCGAGGTGACTGGATGCACGCCGTCCTTGCCAAAGAAGTAATTTAAGAATGAATCACGGGTAGTGTTCGTTGCTCCGAACGTGGCCGAGGCGTTCGAATGCGTCCCATTCAGTGTAGCTGAAATGCTGCCGTCTTGAGCTTTACCGAGGTGAGGAGACATGCTTCTAGCACCCCGCACGGATTGGCTTCTGCTAGAGACGTTCGGCGGCTTAATCTCAGATTGCGGATCTTCGTCATCTTCCAAGGAGGCAGCGTTGTTGCCATTCAGCCCCCCAAGTTCCTTGAGCCGGCGCTTTTCCCTTTTTCTTCTATCCTCTGCTAGAGCTGCTTTCCTTTCCTGCTCCTGTTTGTTTTGGATAACGGACGACATTGCTGCTGCTGCACCAAGGAAATTGGGATGATTGGTGTTTATGTAGGCTCGTTGAATTGATATAAGGGATTCCACGTATCCTGAGCAGGGGCCCAAACGTTCCCGAAGGAGATCGGATACAACTTCAATCAATTTGGCTTGCAAACGTGGAAAACGAAGGAGCTCCTGTGAGCCACATGTATGGCAGATCTTGATAAGCTCTTCATAAACGAGTTCGACGCACCTCTGACTAGGAGCTTCCAGCATCTTGATCTGAGGTTTTACAAGCAAATCAAATGCAAGCTCCGGGACAAATAGACTCGGACGAGGACCAGTTGAATTTCGAATAGCCGTCCTGATATCAGAGACAGTTAGGTTGTGAGTGGGATCTATCGTTTCAAGGGAATTCCCGAAAACAGAGTTGAATATATAGTATATTCTAGCGCCGCCGCAAAGTTCCTTGGTAGAGATCTCGGAGGAGGTTCCGTCAATCGAAGATATGAACGACGATGCAAAGCGCGTCATCAGTTGCAATATCAACGAGCCGCGATGTTCCTTGCCGCTGAACTGCTTGTTGCCATAGCTTGCAAGCTCTTGTTGTGTTTGCCCCATGAGAGTGTTAAGACGTGCTTTGATATCAGGAAGCCGATCGCGGATGTGGGACATAAGAGTCGTGTTCAAGGTCTTTGCTAAGAACTGAGTGCCACATCTATTTGCCATGTTCCGATAAGCAGGATGGTGTCTGAAAAAGTCCAGCTCAGCCTGCAGTGCGTCAGACAATGATTTCCCAGATTGAATATCTTGTTGAGAGCGGTTGACGACGCCGATGAAGCCTAATTTAAGTGGATAGACGCGGCCAGAGAGGATGTCCATGGCATTAGTGCCATGGTCCATGAGGTCCAGCTTCGTCAAGACACCGATCGTCCTTCGACCCATGGGATCTACCTGTCGCGCAAGCTTTAAGGCTTCAGAGTTCACAAGGTCGACATTGGCAGGGGACACTGCCAGAATGATGCTGTTGGGCTTGGCTATGTATTCCAAAATCAATGCCCGTGTTTGCTTTTCGATATCCGACGGCTGATCTCCAATAGGCACTTTCGTCAATCCCGGCAAGTCAACCATGGTGAGATTGAGGACATGGGGTGAGAATATCTTGAGGTTTATGGGCTGCCTATTGATGCCTTTGTTGCTCCCCGCTATCCTTGCTGTCTCGGCTTCGATCTCCTGCTTCACGAGAGCAAAGTCATCGAATTTGCGGCCGGGCAGATGGTGGAATTCTGCCCACTCATTTTGTCCCGCAACACTTGCAGCAGTATGAGGTATGTGAACTTCGTCACCCTCGGGTCTATCATGCCGTTCGCTAGGTATGTTTATGAGTTGAAGAATCAAGGGTCTTCTTGTCACTATACCGCTTCCTCTCGGCAGGAAATCTCTGCCAACGATGTTTTCAAGGACAGATGACTTTCCGGAAGATTGAGAACCGACAACGACCTGTAGGAATTAGTTATCTTTGCTATTGTATGATTGTATGGCGCAGAAGGCCCAGGAAAGAGCAAGCCATAGGCGATGTTCACTCACAATCTGCGGTAGATCAAGGGAGTCATTTCCAATGGTGTTAAAGACAAGATCCTGTAGCTTGTTGACGGTGATAAGTAAGTCCCCACTGAGGGCTGCCATGCTTCAATGCAGTGACGAAAGCGAACACTGCTCTTCGAGGTGCTTGGATTTAGAGAGAATCCGCTGAAAGATTTGAAGAGGTCTAACGACACAAAACAGGATAATTAGAGAAGCTCTTGTCTAAATCGAGGGTATCGAACCTGATCCGATGAGCGAATATGCTATGCTAATGCATGACCCAGCTGTATATATAGTGGTACTCTCGGAACTATTTGGCTATATCCTGGAAAGTGCAAGTTATAACTTACTCTGTATGTGAGTGATACTGTCACGTGCTATGACTAAGCGACGAGAGCAATGCCTATGCTATGATGCAATTCGGTGGCCACTGCGATTCGCTATTGATACCGGCAGTAATTCTAATACTCTACTGTACCACCAGCCTGGAGCACTAAGCCTCTAAAGGCGAAGCAGGAAGCTCTCATATCATGCGTTAATAACAATCCAAAAAATAAATTATAGTATAAGCTAAGTTCTACTATCATAAACCTCGAAGGCCTTGACAAAGAGGAAAGCAAAAGGGACTCACTCCATGATGAATAGACCTAAAAGCATACAAAGGACCCTAACACTCATGATAAAAGAAAGATTTCTGGAAACTCTGGTTATAGAAAAAGTATTTTAATATCCTTACTTAAAGCTTCCTCAGCTGTGTTTCACCTATAAAGGTTTACATCCGGTAGCATTTGAATTACTGCCGGTGTCAGTAGCAAATCTCTATTTTAATATGTACTATGTATCACTCTGTACAAATTGCTGCACAAGGCAACCCTGAGTATGATCCGTGTTTTAGGTCTAGAATAGGATGACTATATACTATCTATCCATGTGAAGCCATACTCCTTACCGAGGTTATAGAGAAGGTGTAAATGTCTACCTAGATTTCCTTTACACACTACTCTATTACTGCGGGTTAAGTAGTACCAATCTAAGATGACTAATGAATACAGATCTATCTTTCTATCTTTATAATATAGACTTCGAGGAACAACCCTATCAGAAAGATAAAAAGAATTATTCTACAATTAAAACTATGATAATACTATCTCCAGCGACAATGAAAGAATGTGTCTTTAAGCGTTTTTTTTAGTATAGAAAATTATAGATATGGTCTTATTCTTGTTAGGGTGTACCTCCCATGAGAGGCAACTTAAGAAAGATACAAGCTGCATTCAACAACTTCAGATGTCATATTGATCTCTAGGCAAGTACAGAGTTACAGGGCTGATAAATATCCCTTACATACATGAATGTAACGTTAAGAAGCTGAGTATGTAATATACTACTCAGTACTCTACCAGCAGTATACAGACTATGCAAACCATAAGAGGAGTAAGTACAAGAATAAGAGAATTGAGAAACTCATCTACCCAGATACAGAAATGTAAAGCTGCTGTCTGTAGGCGCCCCTTCAGTTATATCTGGTTAATCTCATGTGAGAGGGGGGGGCGACAAATATACATGCAGCCACTGCACCTGTATTTAGAGAAAGATGAGAGTCAGAACCCATACGTAAGAGGTGCCATGTATCAATTTCCAAGTTGCACATAGTTCGCAGGGAATAGTCCTGTTTTCCCATCATAGTGGCCGAACCACCAGTCATCATCCGGAAACTCCTAGAGGAGACGCCTTCAAGTCAGCCATGATTACCCAATAGACGAACCAGAAATTAGATTTGCAAATTCGATGAAAACCAACTTGGAAAAACTGGTCGGCGCGATCAAGAAAGGAGTGCCCAGACTTACAATATGTGTTATCTCAGCACCCTCAGGGAAGCTCAGTTCATTGTCCTCCGCGGCCTCATAGTCGTACAATGCGACCGCAATAGGTTCGCCAGCTGGTTCAGGGGTGGTAGTAGATGGGGCAGGTTCAACATTGGACAAGGGCGGAGCTCTTTCATCGACCAGAGGAGTTTGCCTGTCCGCCATATCGTGGCTCTGCGACGCATCTGTGACAATGTCTACATAGTTGCTGGGAAACAGACCTCTGTCACCTTGGACATTAGACCCCAGCCACCAATCCTTGTCGACCATTTCGACATTGTTGACGAACTCGCCTTCCTTAAGTTCAATCTCATTGTCCTCTGCTTTCTCGTAGTCATAAAGCACTACCGCCTGGATAGCCTTATGCTGAACGTCCTCATTCACAGTAGCTTCAGCGGTTGCACGCCCAATATCGTGCGCATCATCTTCCAAGTCATCTTCTTTTGGCAACGCCTGCTGCAAGCTTTCAGTGGGGAATGCAGGAGGTGGTGACTGTTGTTCCCTCTGAATATCTGTCAGTCCTTTACCAACAGGAGCAGCCACACGTATGGGCGAAAGTTCGCGCTCTGTCGTTGAAGGTGTAGGAGGAGTAGGAGACCGAGGCTGCTGAGGAGGCGTCGGAAGCGAATCAAAGCCTCCGGGCTGATATGATTCCTCTGAATTATTCGCCGGGACAGTTGTGGGAAGTTCTG